TTGGCGCTGGCGCTACAAGGCAAGATGAGCATCAAGCGGTTCAACCTCACGTGTATCCAACCAGACTGGGTTGGCACAATATGAACATGTTTCCTTGGCGTAACATGTTCATTTGAGGGGTTTGTCCCTCCAAAGTTGGGGAATTCTCACTCAATACAAATGTTCATTGTATGAAGTGATTCCCTATATGCAAGTGCAAACCAAACAAAGTGTCCCCTCAAATGTCATGGAGGCCTGCGATGCGAGTACCGTGATCACATGGATAGACGCCGCTAGGGGCTTGTAATCACCTCTTTCCTTATTGCCTAGGGAATTACGGTATCTTAAACAGTATACGCGGTCCTGAAAAAAAAAAAAAAAAAAAAACAGGAGAATGAAATGTTTTGTTGTTATTTTTGGTTCTTACCATGATCTATTCTGTGCCGTACGGGGATAACGAATTCGATTCTGGACACCCCGTAGTAGTGAAATGAACACTCCATCAACTCTAGAGCTGATGCCTAGGTTTCTTCTTGATGAGTTTACCGCCAGCCACCCTTGAGACGACTTACCATTTCACAATTCCCAGTGCCGCGATCCCAGCAACAGAGATAGTACCATCGAGAATCGACTAATTTGTGTACCTTTCCCACCTCGCAGCTCTCTATGACCCTAGATTCTGCCAGCGCTTTTGTGGTGTGGCGAACCTAACGTCGCCTCGATGAAGTCCCGAGGCACAGCAGAGCGGTTAGGCACGGAAATGCATTCCAGCCTGATCGCCACATTCCCCAGGCTGGCTGTAGGATTCGTCAAACCGCAGCCTGATCGTCGCTCCCGCGAGCTCCTGCTGACTCTGCTACACCCTTTACACCGCTTCCCTCCAGCAGCTCATTACCTTCCATACGAACGCAGTGTCACAGCCATTAGCCTTGGATTCAATATTTCCGTGCATTTTCCTCTGCACTCATCGCCACTGTCATTTCCCCGTCGCTACGGTGTCGCTAGCTCTCACCGCAATGGAATTTCTTCCCGCAGACCTCCTTTACGCCATTCTGCGGCGCGCCGAGCCGACTGGGCCTCGCGTCATAGCGCGGATGGCGTGCGTTTCGAAGACGCTCGATCAGATCGCCAAAGAGTCGCTATGGCAGCTGCACTGCCGGGACAGACTCTCTGATTTCCATGAGGACCAACTCTCTCAGGAGACAAGGGAAGCTCGCTTGGAGGGCGATAATAACGAGGTGTTAATTATGGAAGCAGAGTCTCGCAGTATGTTTCGACGACTTTAGAGCACTCGCACAGCTCATCCACTGGCGCCGAGGCGTCGTGAGGGCATGGCGGCGTGCGGAGGACGAGGACGAGCATGACAGTGATGATCCGCGCATATGCTATAGCATCATGCACATCTTCCTTGGTAGCACGCTCATCTTTTTTATGTGCCGCTACAATCTAGTCAGACCGCACAAAAGCAAGGATGTTGTTTTGAATCACGGACTTCATGTTGACTTCAAGACAACCGGGTAAGACCACCTTTTATATTCGTGCTTCATGATAGTACTTTGGATGACAGGTTTGTTTCGCTGTGTTCTCAACTCTTCTTTGTTCTCTCTCCCATCCGTCCATAAGAATTGCCTCCTTTTCCATGCCACCTGCAGGTTTTATGATTCGTTTCGTAAGCGTTCCTTCGTACAAGATGAGTCATGCCGTTTCTGCTCATCTAAGGTGTGTTTACCTCCTTGCCGAGTTCGAAACTATCCATGAGAAGTGCGGTTCCCTATATGTGCAGTTTCAGTTTCCCTTTTGATCAAGTGGAGACACCGGCCTAATCATGTGGCAGGTTTGGGACAGCCGTGGAGAATGGTATGTCGGCACTCATAGGAACCTTCAATCCAGCAACAAGATCACCACGACGCAACCCCTCGGTGTCGCTCATTATACCTGCACCCAGGTGCGTCCTACCACCAACCTCGGTAACCTGGCTTTTCTCTCGACTGGTTGCATTATCCTTGAAGATAGCACACACGACACCACGTCTTATCAACTTCGTCTCTAAGTGTGAACCACGCCCCTTGTTTACATTGTTTACATTGTTTCCTCTTCCACCCCAAAGCCACCCAAATCCAAACCAAAGTTGTGTAGATGTGCAATGTCCCAGTGACGGATCTGATCTCCTAGCAAGAGTTTCACGCACGCATGAAACCCGGCTTACCTTCTTTCTTGGGATTCTTTGCCATGGTATTGGAAACACACGGCTACAAATGACCATGCACACGGGTGTGGTCCATTTGCCAAGCAGAATCACTCCCAACCCAAAATATCTTCACATCGCATTCCATCTCGGCCCGAACCCGATGTACGAAAGAGAATGAGGTCGACGTTTGCGACATCTTCTCCTTGTGGACCTGATTCTATCTTCAAAACCCTAGATCTAGATCTAACTCGCCCCCATGTCAAAAAGTCATCCTGGCAAACAAGAAGTCGCCCTCATGCACTTCGGTTACAAGCATTACTGTTTTTTCACCAAGAATGAAAAAAGCAGTAGGGGGTGTGAAGTGTCACTAATGCAATTACGTGTTCACTGCTGATTTCGCTGTGAGGAAGCCAGGCACCCCCCTCTCCCCATCAAATTTGTTGAAACAAAAAATTATAACCAATTCGCCGCCACTTACCACTCGTCACCACACTAGATCTACACAACCCAACCCAAAAATGCAATTTCACAGCTCACGACATTGAGCTCAGCCCAACCCTAGGATGTCCAAGTGAAGTCAGCTACGTTGCAGGACTGATGTCAAGGGGAAAAATGTCCCCTGGAGATTGAATTAGGGTTTTTCTTAGTGACGAAACCGGGTCGGGTCAAGGCCGAGCCGGTTGCCCTGTTTTTTACCCGATTCCGGGTCGAGTCACAGTCAGCCCGAAACCCGACCCAACCCGACCCGACCCGAAATTCAACATCGGGTCGGGTTTTTTTGCCGGGGCCGGCCCGACTCGGACATTGAATGTCCTGACCCGACCCGGGAAAAATTCCGACCACAATTTGAGGTTGATTTTTAGTTAAGTTGGGTTCCCTATCATGTTTGTCAAGATGCAACCATCATAATTAGAACAGCAATGATGTTGACCAACCATTATTGATCCTCACACCTCTTCTATCTCTCTACGTATGTAATACCTCAGTCCATTCGAGCTTAATCAGTAAATAATCTCGTTGTCATACCCCCTTCTTCGAGGAACAGGCGCATGCAGTCGTTGTAGAGCACTTCGTCCGTTTTCCTCTCGAGAAACGTATTGTGCACTTTGGTGGCCAAGCTGTTCACCGCCTGGGCAGAGAGGAGGGGGAGGGATTAACGGGGGGGAAGGAGAGGGATAAGTAGTCTGAAAGAGGAGGGAATTGGAGAACTGCAAGAGAGGAGGGAGAGGCGTGGAGGAGAGGTAGAGGAGATAGAGATAGAGGATGCAGAGGAGTGGGTGAGGGTGAAAAATGGTAGCGAAATGAGGGAGGGGAGTAAGAGCAGCACTGCATGCATTCAGTCCATTTTGGAGGCACCACAAAAGCAACACATCACTCTTCTACACTGGGTCCCCACGTGTCGTGTCGGGGTGTTGTGTTTGGTGCTGCCTTGCACATGTTCGCAACACCACCGCGGAAAAGCTCTCGGCTCGCACCCTCCCCTGTGTTTTACTTGGTTTCCCGGTTGACGCCCCTGAGGTAAGGGTCCTCTTCCTTGCCCCCACTCCTCCCCCTGCTCCTACTCATTCGGTACGTTTACCCCACCCAGGTCCTGCCTCGTCAAGTGTGTCTCACACTACCCCTACTCCCTCGGCAGCATGCCAGGTATCGTCTCCTTCACCATAGTCCCTCATGTGGTCTTCACAGTCATTGTGGCAGCCTTCGGTACTACCACGGCATGTCGCAGTGGACTCTGGAGGTGCTGGAGCTAGAGGTACTGGAGTTGAGGGTACTGGAGTTGAGGGTACTGGAGTTGGCGGTACTTGCATTGGAGGTGCTGCTTCGAGGGGGTGCTGGAGTTGGAGGTTCTGGCATTGGAGGTTGTACGTCTGGGAGTGCTAGGGTGGGGGGCGCTGGAGTCGGAGGTGCTGAGTCTGAGGGTACTGGAGTTGGCGATACTGGCACTGGAGGTGCTAGTTCTAGGGGGTGCTGGAGTTGGAGGTCCTGGCATTGGAGGTCGTGCGTCTGGAGGTGCGGGGTGCTGGAGTCAAAGGTGCTGGTTTTGGGGGTGCTGGAGTTGGAGGTACTTGTCACTTGTTATCTGACACGTTTTCGGCATCTCCGGCAGCTAGAGCGGCAGGAGCAGGAGCGACAGGAGCAAGAGCGGCAGCAGCAGCAGCAGCAGCAACAACAACAACTACAGACGCCGTAGCAGCCACTGCCGCAGGCTCCTTGTACTTATGCTGAGGCAGTGTCGGGACAGTGGGTCTCTGAGTAGATAGCAGCCATGGACGCAGAGACGACATCTTGGGGGTCCACAAACGCGTATGTCGACGGAGTCTCTCTCCCGGGGCGAACATAGTCGATGGCATGTGAATTATCAAGGTACGCTGTCAGTGTTGGCCCTCAATCTCACACTATGTATTTTGTACTTTCTACATCCTAGCGAAGTGTAGTTTGCACTTTGTGTTTGGCTGGGTGTACACTTACAAATCCCAACCAAATTCAAATGTCATCTTCAAATTGGAGATTGCCTTGAAATTACCCCCAATCCTTAGAGATTGCCCTCGATTCCTTTCCCCATCCATTCCTGGCCCATCCTGGATGCACTTAAAGAGCTTCAAGCTCATTACTAATGCATGGATTCTAAGCTTGGGTTCTGATAGAAGCGGCCGCCTGATCGTCGCTTGTCTTCAAGGCGTGTTACGTGGGCAGAAACTTCAGTCAGTGTAAAGGAGTGGATTTCTTCCAGACCTTCTCTTCCACCTCGAAAATGACTACTCTTTGGGGTGATACAGCGCAGCACAGCGATACTACGTGTACGAGCTACACTCGCTAGAATCTTCTACTGATTTCAAAGTCTGTCTGCGCAGTGGAGGTAAGGAGGGAGGGGACGGGGAAGATGAAGTAGAGTGGAGAGGGAGAGCATGCGGATAGGAGAGAGAGGAAGGGGAAAGGAGAGACAGGAGGGGGAGAGGAGAGAGAGGAGGGGGAGAGGAGAGAGACGATGGGGAGGGGGGAGAGAGGAGGGGGAGGCAAGAGAAAGGAGGGATGAGAGAGAGGATGGGGCGTAGAGATGAGCAAATGGCCTGGCCCGACCCGACCCGACCCGACCCGACCCGACCCGACCTGGCCGGGCTACACGGGCTCCCGGGTCGGGTCGGGTTGGGTCGGGCCAGGCTCGGGCCAGGTTCCTGAAAGTTCTGGCCCGACCTGGGCCTACACCCTTGGGTCAACTGGGACCCGGTCATGGGTCGGGTCGGGTCGGGCCAGTCTGACCCGCCCCTACACCCTGCACGCGGCCCCTAAGAACCTCTACAAAATGTTGCAAATGGTATTTGCTGGCGCGCCTATGAGCAACTGCTGGCCTAAGACGAGGCGTTTAGCTTGTGAATTGAAGTCACACTAGTAAAACGTGTAGCTGTAAAAAACGTCATTTCTGCGTCATATTTTCTGTCAAAAGCAGGATACATATTACCCTAAACCCAAATAGCTAGAAATGTCTTTCAATTAGGTTTGAACGGTTTGAAACTAAGTAGTTTCTAAGCTTAGGCGATTAGCTTGCCTGCTGCCGTTAGGCAAGATTGAGATCGAGCGTGGGTAAGCTTTGCTGTCGAGGGGATAAAAAACCCCTCGGCAACATTATGACCTAGAAACCCGACCTGGCCCGGCCCGAGTTCCATGCTCAGGTCGGGTTTTTGCTCGGGTCGGGTCGGGTCGGCCCGTACGGGGCAGGAAAATGAAACCACTGCCCCGACCCGTGCTAAACCACGGGTCGGGTCGGGCCGGCCCAACCCAAGCGGGGCAAATGCTCATCTCTAATGGGGAGAGGAGAGAGAGGGGGGAAGAAGAGAGAGGAGAGGGACAGGAGAGAGAGGAGGGGGAGAGGAGAGAGAAGAAGGGGAGAGGAGAAAGAAGAGGGGGGAGGAGAGAGAGGAGCGGGAGAGGAGTGAAAGGAGGAGGAGAGGGGAGAGAGGAGGGGGAGAGGAGTGATTGGAGGGGGGAGAGGAGAGAGACAAGGGCGGAGAGGAGAGTAAGGAGGGGGGATATGAGGGTGAGCAGAGCAGGAGAGGATGGAGAGGAGGGGGGGGTTGTTGAGGGTGAGCAATTGGAGAGACGATGGAGAAGTGGGGTTATGTGGGAGAAGCAAAAGGAGATGCGATGGGAGAGGGTTAAGTTGGCAAGGACAGACAAGCATGTAATGGCTCATAATAAGCTTACACGTTACGATTCACATTGGGTGCAAGACGAGGAGGTAATGAAGAACGTTGGAGACACAAGTAGAAGGAGCCCCAATAATCTCCAACAATGAGAGTAAAAGTGCACAAGGAGTTTGAGGGAATGGCATTTGGGCAATGGCGTTTTAGGTCATGTATACTTGCACGGCCAGGTGATAAGTTGTTGAATTCAAAGAACAAAATAAAACAAAACCCGCACATTAGAACTCAGAGGTTAGTGGCAAGTTAAGTCTTCTTCTGCTGCTGCTGCTGCTGCTGCTGCTACTACCACTACTATCATTATTATTACTATGATTATTATTATTATTAACAGTGACAACATAATGATATGGTTCCAGGTGGTGTTTTTAGTTTGGTCGTTCTTTTCACACCACCCACCCCATGGGACCAAACTGATTGTGAATGTAGGTAGGAAGGAGGAAGATGAGGATTGCCAGAATTGTCCTATTTGGGATACCTTTACCGATATACCATCTGGTTCCACTTAGAGCTGCGAGCAATCTGTTTCTGTGAATAGATCTGGACTTTGTTGGAAAAAGGGACTTTGAGGAATTCTGCCAGAGACGATGTGACCATAGCAAAACTCATGTGCAAAACCGAACCAGCCCAGTTCGGTAACGAACCAAACCAGTTTGGGCAAATCTGTTTGGTTCGTTATATGAATTAACGAACCTTGAACCAGCTGGCCAGAAATCGGTTCGTTTACGAACCGGTTCGGTTCGGTTATTCCAAATGCCAACTTGTCAGCCAGTGGCTACAGCACGTGCTACAGCCATAGCCTACACTGCACTGCACCTGCAGCTGTAACAATCGCTCATTTGAGTTGTGAAGCAATCCAAGCAAGCACTACACAGGGCTCACTGCGCACACTCTACACGGTTCCGGTGGCTTCAGTCCTTACTACAGCCACATGCAGTCCGTGCTGCAGCCATAGGCAGTCCGTGCTGCAGCCATAGGCAGTCCGTGCTGCAGCCATAGGCAGTCCGTGCTGCAGCCATAGGCAGTCCGTGCTGCAGCCATAGGCAGTCCGTGCTGCAGCCATAGGCAGTCCGTGCTGCAGCCATAGGCAGTCCGTGCTGCAGCCATAGGCAGTCCGTGCTGCAGCCATAGGCAGTCCGTGCTGCAGCCATAGGCAGTCCGTGCTGCAGCCATAGGCAGTCCGTGCTGCAGCCATAGGCAGTCCGTGCTGCAGCCATAGGCAGTCCGTGCTGCAGCCATAGGCAGTCCGTGCTGCAGCCATAGGCAGTCCGCGCTACAGCCATAGGCAGTCCTTGCTACAGCCACATCCACAGCTCAGAAACAATCCAAGCACTACAACACGCTCACTGCCCACACCATACCTTGCTGTCCCACCAGTGCTTCCACTTGCGATTGATGTTGCGCATGATGGCAGCGAAGATGAGGGGCATGATGGTGGTGTGATTCCGAGCCACGAGAGCCTTGATGTAGTGATGGTTCCACAGGCGCAGCGTGCGCTCCACCACCTGAAGAGGGGGGAGAACAGGCACGGGGTGGGGCATGGGTAGGTATGACACGTGGGTCTTAGCATTAGGGCGCACATGAAGCGGTAATGTGCGCCACCACGAGCGCCACGAAGTAGTCGCTGTTCCGCAATCTGAAGGCAGAAGGGAAACGGGATTGCGTTGGGGGGGAAGGAGAGAGGGTGAAGGGAGAGGCATAAGAGTTCTGAGCCACGAGCGTCAAGAAGCAGTCGTTGTTCCACCATCTGAAGACAGACGGGGAAGGGGATAGCGTTGGGGGGAAAGGGGGGAGGGTGGAGGGAGAGACATAAGAGTTCTGAGCCACGAGCATCAACAAGCAGTCGTTGTTCCACCACCTGAAGGCAGAAGGCGAAGGTTGGGGGGGATGGGGGGGGCAAGGTGGAATATGGGGCATGACATGTGGGGCATGACATGTGGGGCATGATATATGGGGCATGACATACGAGGCATGACATCTAGGCATGGCATATGAGGCACAATGACATATGAGGCATGAGTTATGAGGCATGACATCTAGGCATGGCATATGAGGCACGATGACATGTGAGGCATGACTTATGAGGCATGACATCTAGGCATGGCATATGAGGCACGATGACATGTGAGGCATGACTTATGAGGCATGACACCTAGGCATGGCAGATGTGTGGGGCATGACGGCCATGCAATGGGCCATTGCCACTCAGACATGGGAACCTGTGAGGGGGGAGCGGGAAGGGCAGGGCGAAGATCAGAGGGAATGAAATCGGTTATCACAGAAAGCGCGTGGGAAGGCGACGCGGACACAGGCAGAAGAGTGAGGGGGGAAGAAGACACAAGCAGAAGAGAGATGGGGGAAGCGACCAAAGTTGGGGACCATTGGTGCGAACCACATGACGCGTCAGACAGGCGGCAGCAGCCATCACATCGGCCAAACCCTAATGTCGTCCCCATAACGTACAGCCAAAAAAACGACCCGTAGTTTGATTTTGAGAATGCCAAACTTGGAATGCGATATGCTGGAACAGCAGCATTATGACCATAGTAACATTTCGCGTCCTTCAGCGAGAATGCATAGCACCCCATTACACCATATTACACCGCACCATACCGTATTTGAACTGAAATGGGCGGGAGCGTCATACCTGATGTGTGAGGAGCCGAAGCAGCGCGCAATCTGCATGAACAACGGCGGCGTCATGACTGTCACGAACTCGGGCGTCTGCTCAAAAATGCATGCCATGACACACCCTCACATCTCCTCACACCTCCTCTCACCCCACCACACCCCCTCACACCCCCTCACACCCACCACCGTTTCACACCCCCTCGCACTGCACCACACCCCGACACAACCCATCCAACCGTACCTCAAAGTGCGAGGGCCTGAGGCAGCACGCAATCTGCTGGAACAGCAGCGTCGTGGCCATCTGATACTCGGGCGCCTGCGTGAAAATGCATGCCATAACACCTTCCCACAACCCCTCACATTCCCTCCCAAAGCACCACAAACATCCCACCGTACCCGGAAGTCCGAGGAGCTGAGGCAGCGTGCGATCTGCTGGAACAGCGGCGTCATGACCATTTCAAACTCCGGCAACTGAGTCCCCTTCAAAACCTCCTCCAACTCCCGCAGGAACAGCACCTCCTTCTGGCTGTCAGTTATGGGCCAGAACTTAAGCAACCCGCGCAGCACTGGTTCCGCGAGCTCAGGTTCTTTTTCTACAAACCGAATGATGCAGTACGACAGCTGCTGGTGGTACATAGGCAGGCACCTCGGCTTGTGCAGCGGAACCAGCGCCCGGTCTAGGAACTGCTTATCCTGCTCCCCAAGCGGCAGCACAAATTCGTCTACTATATCGGTCCTGGAAAACACCAAAATCTCTGTGATGCCGTTATGCCGCTCCGACTCGATAAATTGGTGAACAATGTTGCCAATCGCTTCGCGGATGAACGGCCGGTGAACCTTAAACTTATCGTAAATCCTCCTCAGACTTATCTCCACGCACTCCCGCTCGCGAGGGTCCTCCGAGTCGAACAGGTTCAGCAGCTTTAAGATGAAGTTCTGGTCGATGCAATGCGTCGCAAAATACTGGTGGTTGTCTTTAGAGACGACATACCTAAGCAGGAACTCGTAGACTAATTCCAGGTGCGGCCACGCGGCTTCCATAGTCGGCCTTGGCATCTCGACGTGTGCGGACCGCGTTAACGGCCGGAAGAGATTAATCTCCAGCATGCGCCTGATGTCTTCCAATGCCGCGTTGAATTTCCTGGATTCAATGTAGCCGACTAGTTCCAGGAGCGTTTGCCGCTTAATCTCCTTCTCCTTCACGTTTTTCATGGGGTCGTTAAAATCGAAGAGGTAAGTGCAGAGGCGCAGCTTCCGGATGAATAGTGCCTGCTTCTCCCGCGGACCCACGTCTCTAAACTTCGGTAGCGGCTCCGCGAAAGGCGGCAAGCTCGCCTGCGAAAGCGCTTCATTCAGGTCGCGACGAACGGGAGCCGTTGGATTCGCGACGCCTCGAGGCGGATGCGTTCTTCCCGCTTTTCCGGCGTCCGCTCCCCTCGAAGAGGCACTCACAGCTGCTGCTGCATTGCCTGGATTGTGCGACGCTGGCTTAGCCTGCTTTTCTCGACCCCCTACGAACGTCTTTTTTAAAGATTCAAGCATGCTAAGTCGCTTCGCGCAACCCTAACCGCTAAATAATATCGACACGAAATTGCTAACGTCGTTTGGTTCAGTCAAGCAGCAATAGCATTCCCAAGGCCGGAACCAAATCGCGAGATTGGGTGTACTCTGAATCTCGCCAAGCTTCCGATTCCTAAACGGCCGGCTTCTAAAGAAATTATGGAGGAACGAGAAATACTTCAAGCGGCTTGGCTACGAAAAACGGCATGCGTATCGGGCGTTTTGGATCCTGTATTGGGCCGCCATGGATTATCATAGCAGATGCCTACAACTGTAGCAAAAGAGTTACTGGTGATGCGGGCCTGCGTGGCGGAAATTTGGGTTGCGCTGCGCCTGGATCCCTGGTTACGTATCACGTTTCGCTGCGCAATTTCGCTTTTGCCTGGATCCCTCCGCTTTAGAGGGAGGGAGGGAGGGGGGGGGAGGGAGGGAGAGAGAGAGAGAGAGAGAGAGAGAGAGAGAGAGAGAGAGAGAGAGAGAGAGAGAGAGAGAGAGAGAGAGAGAGAGAGAGAGAGAGAGAGAGAGAGAGAGAGAGAGAGAGAGAGAGAGAGAGAGAGAGAGAGAGAGAGAGAGAGAGAGAGAGAGAGAGAGAGAGAGAGAGAGAGAGAGAGAGAGAGAGAGAGAGAGAGAGAGAGAGAGAGAGAGAGAGAGAGAGAGAGAGAGAGAGAGAGAGAGAGAGAGAGAGAGAGAGAGAGAGAGAGAGAGAGAGAGAGAGAGAGAGAGAGAAGAGCAAATTGGGAAACTGTTGTGAAATTTGGGCACCGTGGTCTTTCTTGAGTCGCATAATAGCATGAAATCGACAAATACAGAATGCTGAGCTTTAATTTGCTTGGTCGTTGCATAGAGCCACACAATTTACCAATCAACGTCATGGATGGCCCAACAGCAGGGCTTGAAGAAAAACATTAGATTGCACTCTGGCACTTCATTCTAAAAGAAGCAGACCCATCAACTCATAATGCGTAGGCTCATCTGCTGTCTTCCTTGTTGTCTTGTTGTATTACTTGCTATCTTATTTGTTGCCTTGCTGTCTTGCTTTCTTGCTTCCTGTCTTTTTCTATCGTGCGTCTTGTGGGCTAACTGGTCCACCCATTGAGACCGATGCACATGCCGCTCCGCCATTTCAGCTGACACTAGAGCCCACCGACTCACTCAATTCTGCACTCTTCTCCTTCCGTTTCTTTCCCTGCTGCTTCTTCCCCCCTGCAGCATTCCCCTTCCCCTTTTCCCTTCCCGCCCTTGGCGCCCTTCCCACCAGCCTGCGCGCCTGCCTCTGCCCCCTCCTCCTGCTCTATTCTTGCTAACACAGGCGCTGGCTCTGCTGTTTCCTGCCCTGCCTTCAGCCCTCCCCAGTGTGTCTCAGCCGGCAGAGCACCAGGGGAAGAGGATGGTGGTGAAGGGGGTGGGGAAGTGGGGGAAGGGGGGGTTGGAGGGGTGGAATTCATGAGGATAGGAAGACCTGGAGGTGTCGATGTTGTGGTGTTGCAAGATAGGAAGACGTCATACCTCTACTAAAGGCACTACTCTGCAACACTAGGTGACATGCTCTGAAATGGAGGTGATGACCGGATTTACTGCATAGAGTGCACCTTGGAACACACCCTAAGGGATGGCAGAAAACTGCTCTGCAGTGAAGCCAAGTTGCAGATAAATGTTTCGAGCGAACGTGGGCGTGATGGGTGATAAAGCCACCGCTACACAGCGAGCCGTCTCCAACACTGCCACCAGGTCTTGATGGGGAAGAAAGGGAGGGGGGAGAGTGGGGGGTAAGGGAGATGGAATGGAAGTTGAAAAGGGCATGGTCCAGTGGGTTTGATCGGGGAGAGCGCCACGGCCACACAGCGAGCTGTCTCCAAGACTGCCACCAGGTCCTAATGGGGAAGGAGGGGAGGATGGGTGGAAGGAGGTAGAGAGAGAGGGGCAAGGGACAGGGAGAGCAGAGAAGGGCATGGACTGAAGAGTGAGTGTGATGGGAGCGAGCCACAGCGACAGAGCAAGCTGTCTCCAACATTGCAACCAGGTCCTGATGGGGTTAAAATGGGGAGGATGGGTGGAAGGAGTGTGGGGAAAGGCATGACGACGTGACATTCGAAAGAGTGGGGTGATGGATGATAAAACCACGGCCACACAGCGAGCCGTCTCCAACACTGCTACCAGGTCCTGATGGGGGAAAAAGCGAGGGGGAGGAGGAGGAGTGGGGGAAAAGGCATGAGGATGTGACAAAAGAGCGATTGTGATGGGCGACAAAGCCACGGCCACACAGCGAACCGTCTCCAACTCTGCTACCAGGTCCTAGGAGGGTGAGGAGGGGAGGGGAGAGAGTGGGGGTCGAGGGACGTAGGAGAGCAGAGAAGGTAATGTGTTGAAGAGTGGGGGTCATGGGGAGAGTCACCAGCAATGCCGCCGACACCCCCAACACAGTGAGCCATCACTAACGCAGCCACCAGGTCCTGGGAACGTTAGGGAAGAGAGCAAGTTGCCTCAAACCACACTGCACCGCATCTCAGTCATCCCAATCACCCACTTACCGCAGCTGCCCTGCATCAGCCCCACCCTTCTTGAACTTGCTCCAAGGTGCTCTTTCCTCCAAAAACCCATTCCCCACTGCTGCCGGCGCCAGAATCGCCTCACATGCGCCACTGAAGTCCAAAGCAGCATAGCACGCTGCTGCCGTTGCCATCTGTGGGGAGGAATGAGAGGGGTTGGAGTGTGAAGTGTGATATGGTGGAGTGGTGGTGGTGGGAATGTTGCTGGTGCCAGGATCACCTCGCATGCCCCACTAAAGTCCAAAGCAGCATAGCACGCTGCTGCTGTTGCCATCTGTGGGAAGGGCCAGTGCATGAAATGGGAGAGTGATGGTTGGTGGTGGTGGTTGCGGTGATGGTGGTGGTGATGGGGGTAGTGGGAATGCTGCTGGCATCAGAATCGCCTCACACACCCCACTGAAGTCCAGAGAAGCGTGGCATGGTGCTGCTGTTGCCATCTGTGGGGAGGAATGAGAGGGGTTGGGGCGTAGGATTGGAGTGTGATAACGGGCGGTGGTAGTGGGGGTAGTGGTGGTGGTGGTGGTGGTGGTGGGTGGGAATGCTACTGGCGCCAGAATCGCCTCAAAGGCGACACCGAGTAGCATAGCACGCTGCGGCTGTTGCCATCTGTGGGAGCGGTGGAGAGGGGTAAACATGGGTGTTGACATGGTTGCCGCAAGGATTGTCTCTAATATGCCACCTAGAGCAGGGAGGAGGGGAAGCGCCAAGAGGGAGGAGACAATGGAGACAGGGGGTCAAAAGGGACAGATACAATTCCTTAAAAGTTTAGCATGAAATGAGTAGACTAGACTGAGCGAGGGTAGAGGAAAGAGACTCGTGGTGGTGCCGAGAGGGTGGTCAAGGGAAAGAGTTGCAAGGTCTTCTAATAATCTCTAGCAGGGTCTCGCTTTGAACGAGACCCATCAGACCCTGTGCCTCTTGCAGGGTCTTGCAGGGTCTCTTTTTGAGCCGCCTAAAGAACTCTCTAGTAATCTCAAAATGCGTCTACTCACGGATGCAGCAGTGGTGGTGCGGAGAGGATGGTCGAGAGGCAGAGCAGCAGAGATGATGTTGAGAGTGCTGCTGCAGTTCTTCTTGAGTAGACTCAGCGTGCGATTCACCAAGTTGCCTGTGAATGAAAGTGTTGAGAGATTAGGAAAACGGTAGGGAAGCAGGAGAGGTAGGGAAGCAGGAGAGGTAAGGAAGCAGGAGGTATTGAGTCGATGCTGAGAGTGCTGCTGCAATTCTTCTTGAGCAGACCCAGCGTGCGATTCACCAGATTGTCTGTGAGGTGACATGGATTAAGGGGAGAATGGCAACAGAGAGGATGAAGCAAGCCCAACGTGCAGCTCACCAGATTGGCTAAGGGCAGAAGGGAGCTAGGTATGGGAAGCTAAGGCAGAGAGGGAGTGGGTGAGGGTAAGAGCGTTGAGGTTGTGCAAGGATAAAGGTTGGCATTGACGATATTAGCGAATCGCTTTTTGGAGAAGCACGCATCGCTGCTCCAGGAAGAAGTATTGCACCGCATCCGCTCCAAAGGTTGTTACCGGCTCGTCAGGTAAGGGCCGATCAATGGTAATGCCTGTGGTGACTTTTGAGTCGACTCAAAAGTCGGGCCGATCAATGGTATTGCCCGTGCATCAACTTAACAACCTTACAGAAGGAAGAAATTGCCCTCCCCTTTCCTACTCCCTCTTCCTCCCCTCCTCCTCGGAACCCAACCCCCCCCACCTCCCACGCACCGATAGTGTTCGCCAGTTTGGCATTGACGATGTTAACGAATTGCTCTTTAGAGAAGTCTCCATTATCTGCCGAACTCGATCTCCCGAAGGAAGAAGTATCGCACCGCGTCCGCGCAAATGTAGTCACCAACTCATCTGGGTCGATAGTGATCCCTAGGGATTTGCCCATCTTGTGCCCGTCCTGATGCAGGGAAAGGGAGGGAGAGAGGGGGGGAGAGGCAATGCGGGTCAATGGTGCTCCAGGGACCTGTAGCAGAGAAAGTGTGATCTCCTGCAGGAAGAACTATCGCACCGCGTCCGCGCCATAGGTGGTCACCAGCTTGTCAGGGTCGATTGTGTTGCCCAGCGACTCGCCCATCTTGTGGCCGTCCTGTGATGATGATGCGTGGGATGAGTGAGAACGAAAGGGGGGGAAATGGGGGAGGAGAAGTTCAGGAAGATCGCACCGCGTCCGCTCCGAAGGTTGTCACCATTTCATCGGGGTCAATAGTGTTGCCCAGCGACTTGCCCATCTTGTGGCCGTCTTGTGGTGTTTTAATGCACACGATGAGAGAGAATGAAGGGGGTCGGTGTCACGATATGCACTGAACTGGTAACCAGGTTTAACTAGGGCCTAGGGTTAGTAGCCTAGGCCAAGCGGGTGACAAGGGGAGCGTGCCAAGGGAGGGTCAAGAGCATTCACAAAAAAAAAAGTGAGTTTCACTATAAGATTATGGAACATATAGCCAAGAACAAAAGGTGCACCACCAAATAAGCAAGTAAATAACTACACTAAACTAACTACAAGTAGTTATATAAACTATGTAAAACATAGTTTCACACTCCCCCGAATCTGCTTGCAAGTAGAAGTGGAGAACGCCCCTTGAGGGGGTGCACCAAGGACAGGGTGGCGTAGTGAAAGACGGCAGAGAGGGAAGTGAGGAGGAGGAGGCGAGAGAGAGCGAGAGATAGAGAGAGAGAGAGAGAGAGAGAGAGAGAGAGAGAGATAGAGAGAGAGAGAGAGAGAGAGAGAGAGAGATAGAGAGAGAGGGAGAGAGAGAGAGAGAGAGAGAGGGATAGCCTCTGCCCTCTGCCCTTAGCCTCTGCCCCCGTTTGTCTAGCTACTTAAGGGGCCTTCCCGGCCTCCTTTGCTCATTATTCAGTTGGCGGCTGGAATTTTTCGCTCGTCCAAGAGAGAGAGAGAGAGAGAGAGAGAGAGAGAGAGAGAGAGAGAGAGAGAGAGAGAGAGAGAGAGAGAGAGAGATAGCCTCAATGAAACATCAATGAAGGACCGCTTGAGAGATAGCCTCTGCCCTTTGCCCTTAGCCTCTGCCCCCATTTGCCTAGCTACTTAAGGGGCCTTCCCGGCCTCCTTTGCTCATTATTCAGTTAGCGGCTGGAATTTTTCGCTCGTTCGAGAGAGTGAGAGTGAGAGTAAGAGAGAGAGAGAGAGAGAGAGAGAGAGAGAGAGAGAGAGAGAGAGAGAGAGAGAGAGAGAGAGAGAGAGAGCCTTGGGCTCTAGTCCTTAGCCGTTTTTAGCCTAGTTCTTAGCCTAGTCCAGTCCTTAGCCGTTTTTAGACTAGTTCCCTAGTATATAAGGCCGAGGAGACCCCTCTCCTCCTCATTATTCACTGGTGAGCTCATTCTGCTCTCCAAAAAAATCGGCGGCTCGCGCCGGCCGCCTTCGGCGGCCGACGCTCGACAGCGCGGCCTTCGGCCGCGCGCGAGGGGTGGCAAGGACATCGAGGGGAAATCAATATAAGGGCACGGACTACAACATGCAGTGGTAACCGCCTAACACACCTACAGGCAAGGTAAGTCCCCAGCAATGGGGAGGAAGAAACAACAAACAAAGGCGGCAGCGGGTACAACAACGCCTACGGGTCGGGAGCAATCAGGAACATCCGCCGATCCATCCAGCGGAGTGCAGCCGCGAGTGCGGGCACTATCTCAAGGGGCGCCTCCTCGGCGGCCATGGCTACCCTGCGGAAAGCAGTCGCTCCAGGCCCTTCATTCAGCGACGGGTCTTCAGGCTCAAGGGGCAGGCACAGCATCGTCGACATCGCCTGCGCATCGGCCTCCCTCACCACCCCCTGCTCGAACTCGCTCAGCTGCGGGTTCCGTGAGGCAAGGTTCCGCCGCCCAATCGCGTGGTTCAGCTGCTCCAACACCGTCGCCACGTTCGACAAACAACGCCCTACACCGCGCATCCGCTGCTCCCACCGGCAAAGGTCGAAGTAGCTCGGCTCCTCTCCCCACTGCCGGCCCCACACGTCCAGGTCCGCCTGCACGCCCCAAGGGGGGTGAGGCTCCCAGTGAGGGTCGGGATCAGGAGCGGTTGGTGGACGCTCAGGCGAATCCCATCCACGCGGGTAAGGGCGACGGGGAGGGGGGAACCGGAAGGCGGTCTTCGAGACGGTTGGCACGAGGGGATGTTGACGCCGAGGTTGCCGCCACGGGGGTGGCGCCGGCGGAGCAGGGTCTTCAACAAGGGCCTGAGGAGGAGCGACGGGAGGTGCAACTGGCACAGGAGGCGCCGTCAGGGGCGGCGCGGACTCGATCGACGGCGGCAGCGGCGGCGCTGGGGCCTCCGCCGAGGCCGGTGTCGACGGCTGCGGCAGCGAGGGCACAGGCGCGGAGGCAGTTGACTGCGCCAACGGCTGAAGGGCCGTCCCCGACGCTGACGAAGTCTGCTGCAGCGACGTCACAGACTGGGACATTGGTGGCGGGAGCTGCAGGGGCTGGGATTGCGCAGCCTGGTTTGGAGGGGACGGACCCAGTGGTCGGACTGCCGGCGGCCCATACTGGCGCTGGGGACGAGGTGGGCGGCGGCGGCGGATGGATTGCCCGCGAGGCCGTAGTTGGGGAGGTGCCCGTCCTCGAGAAAACCGGAGCATCGGCTGGCGAGGAGCCGGTGAGGGAGGAGGAGGCTGGGCGACAGCGCCGCCAACCCCGGCCGCAACTACATCCGCGGCGGCTCGGAGCAGGGCTGGGACTTGCCCGCCCTGGACCCCTTGCGGGATGGGAGAGGCAAGAGGACTCGCCGGACGGGCCGGCTGAGGAGGAGGCCGCCGCTTGCCTGTCATCCGGCTGGCCGGTGAACGCGGCGGAGGAAACCCGTGAGAAGGACGCCGAGCTGGCGGAGGGAGCGGACCGAGAGGAAGAAGTGCTGCGCCGGGCAGAGGCAGAACGCAGGCGGAGGACTGGAACGAGCCGTCAGCGAGCACTGCAGGACCAGGCCGACGATCGCGCGGCAGGCCTACAGCCGACAAACGCGGCGCCAAGGTCGGCGGATAGAGGCAGGGGGAGAGGGCGGACCAGGGGGAGAGGCAGCCGAGATCTGGCGGGAGCTGTGGCGAGGGAGAAAGCCAGATCTGGTTTCTGGCGGGAACGACATGGGAGGCCAGAGGAACAGGGTGAGGAGCCAATGAATGAAGAAGAGGGTGAGGAAGGGTCAGACTATATGGCATCACAGGAGTCGGAATCAGAAGATGCCTCGCTGGAGGCCGAACGGGGGGTGCCCATCCCAGCCACAGAGAGGGGACAGGGGTCTGGACAGGGACGGAGAGAGGAGGGGGCTGACGTGGGGGAATCCGCACCGCAGCAGCCCAACGAGGCTACCAGCAAGGAGCGTGATCCCACCACCATCGTGGATGATGAGGGCACGTGGCAGAGGGTACACGCATGGGATCTGGGGCCACTGCAGTCCAGCGCGCAACCCTTCTTGGTCCGGAAGCTTCCGCCCGAAATCCTGAAAACTTACAGCATTTGCCTCACCCTCCCACTCCTCCGACTAGCGAAATTTCCGAGTTGCCTGGCGGCGTGGCGAATCTTGCAATACCTCCCGAGGCTGACACTTCGGGCGAACCTCGAGAAAACCCCCGGGAACCGGTGGGCAGGGGTGGAGAAACGTCTCCGGCAATTTCGCGAGGAGGATTGGGACTCACTGTACAAAGAGGCTAGCACCTTCCCGGCAAACTCCAAACCCAGCCGTCACGAGCCGGACCCAGAGGGTGTTTGTGCCAGAGCGGAGGGGCTGGTTCGGAAAGCAAACCTGGCGAAAGCGGTGGCAGCGCTGCGAACTTCGCCGCTGGCGGAAACGTCGCAGGTAACCTTGGAGACACTTCGCACGAAACACCCCCGGGCGGAATCGGCGATACCCGAGGTTACCGGAGGTTACAACACGTCCGAGCTCGCCATTGGGGCGGAATCCTTCCGCGAAGTACTGGCGAAGTGCCCGAACGGAATAGGAGCGGGCCCATCAGGCACGTGCTTCGAACACCTCCGTGACCCAGCTCTAACAAACGGGGAGGTCTTTGTGTTGCTCCACAAAGTAGTAAACGGGCTTCTTAGCGCGTACCAGAACGAGCAGCTGCAAGACCTCCTGCTCCCTGCTAGGTTGATAGCGCTCGAGAAGCCGGACGGGGGCGTGAGACCCATAGCGATTGGCGAGGCGGTTCTTAGAGTCACGGCCAAAGCAGCACTCCGCGAACTCGCGGCGGAGATCCGCGGGTATTTTCTCCCGGTTCAATTCGGCGTCGCCGTCCCCGGTGGAGCCGAGTGCATCATTCACACGACCCGCACGCTCCTCGCCGAAGATCCGTCAAGAATTGCGATCCAGCTGGACATAGAGAATGCGTTCAACTCAGTAGAACGGGGGTGCTTCCTAGAGTCAATGCAATGGACAGACCTCACCCCGCTCTTACCATTTGTACGCACCCTATACGGCAAACCCTCAAGGCTCCTCCTCGACAGTGGCTTTACAGCGCCTTCAATCGACAGCGCACGCGGCGTGCGCCAGGGGGATCCGCTCGGCCCCATGCTCTTTGCTGCGGCGATACAGCCGGCCCTTCTCACGACGGCGGCCGCAGTTCCTACCGTCACCATGATGGCATATGCGGACGACATCACAGTGATCGGCGAGTCGGCGGAGGCAGCACGGGCGGTCACGATGCTGTGTGACAAACTCCTGGGACTTGGCCTTCGGTGCAACCTAGCCAAGTCCACGGCATGGAGCCCCTCGGGGGTCACGGGAAACCTACCGGAAGGACTGGTGGCGGCGGTGGATGGTATCAAGGTGCTGGGGAGCCCAATTGGCACGTTGGCGTATAGCAGGCGGGTGGTGAGGGCGACGCTGGAGACCACAGCAGCACCGCTTGGGCTCATCGGCAAGCTCCACCCCCAACACGCACTGCTGTTGCTGACACGGTGCATCTCCCGTAGGGTCTCGTACCTGCTACGGACCACGCCTGCGGATGTGCTCCCACTAAGGGAATGGAGGGAATGGAGCGAGAGGCTCCTGTGGACGGCGCTCAAGGCGGCACACTTACACACGCCGGGGAAGGAGATAGAGCAGAGCCTCGTGTGGAGGCAAGCGTCGCTGCCGATCGCCCTGGGCGGGCTTGGCTTGGTGGACCCCCTCTCGGAGGCCCCTGCAGCGTTTCTGACATCGCTGAGCGCGGCACAGGACTTGCTGCTGCAAGGAGCCGACACACAGGTCCACCCTCTCCAACGAGTGGCGGCGCTGCTGTCGCCACACGAGGAGGGGGGGGCGAGTGGGGGGAGGACGACCTTGCAAGATCTGCGGAACAGGCTCCCCGAATCAGCGCGTGAAATCCTGCGGGAGGCCGGGCGGGGGAGGGAGAAGAAGGGCCACCTGCAGGAACGGCTGTCCAAGCAAGTGAACCTGGACAGGGCGGCGGAGCTGGTGGGTGACACGCGGATCGACAAGCCGGGGGAGGACAACGGCCACGTGGTCCGCCTGATTGCCCTGCAGGGGACGGGGGCAGGAGACTGGCTACACGCAATCCCCACGCGTGCGGATCTGACCTTCTCCCCTGGCCAGTTTGCCATTGCCCTTGGCTTCCGGCTGGGGCTGACACTGGCGGTGACAGAGCAGTGTCCCTGCGGCAAGCCACGGTCGAAGATAGATGACCATAGCCTACCCAACCATCTGCTGCGGTGCGCGGAGGGGAGGGACAGGACCAACACGCACAACTGCCTGGTGTACGCTGCCCTTCGGATGGCCAGGGAGGCTGACTACATGACCCTCCACGAGACCTGCGCCTACTCGCAAATTGTCAACCCTAAGCGAGCGGACCTGGTCCTCGTGGACAGGGAGTCGGCCGAGACCTTCGTGACTGGCGTCACCATAACCGACCCCGTGCTGCAGCGCAGAGACACCCGAGCGGTGAAGCGTCCTGGCTGGGCAGCAGAGGATGCGGCAAGGACGAAGAGAGGGCTGTACAAGGGGTGCCCTGAGTTTGTAAGGGTGTTCGGGCTGGCGGTAGAAACCTATGGGGCTTTGGCACAAGACACCCAGCGGTTCCTACGCCTCCTAGGCACCCAGGCGGCTAAGAAGAAGCACAGGCAGGGGAGGCTGACCACGGTCGCCTCCAAGCTCACAGCACACTACCGACAGCGCTGGTTGGTGATGCTCCAGCGCGGCCAGGCCAATACCCTGCTGGCAAAGTCCAACAGGGCGACTGAGCGTGCTTACCCCCAGGCCCCAGTCGACCCGTGGGAGCCACACCTTGGGGACCTCTGGCAGGTCCTTGAGGACGAGCTGGACTGGGGGCCGGACCTGGATGGGTGAGGGGGCTGGAGTAGAGGAGCTGGAGGAGTGAGGAGGACCCCAGGCGGCGGTCCTTGGGGCTAGGCACTAGGTAGGCTGCATGGCAGTCCTGGCCATCAGCAGGCAGGCTTAGGATGTGGCTGTTGTGGCTGTCCCTTGCTTGTGTGTTGGTTGTTGTCTGCCTAGATCGCATGTTTAGGCTTGCTGGCTCACTTGTGCCATGCCTGTACCCTGCTGATTATCAATGAAGGACCGCTTGAGAGAGAGAGAGAGAGAGAGAGAGAGAGAGAGAGAGAGAGAGAGAGAGAGAGAGAGAGAGAGAGAGCCTCTGCCCTCTGCCCTTAGCCTCTGCCCCCGTTTGCCTAGCTTACTTAAGGGGCCTTCCCGGTCTCCTTTGCTCATTATTCAGTTGGTGGCTGGAATTTTTCGCTCGCGCCGGCCGCCGAAGGAATAACACACCGAAACAAATTTACAAGCATGGCATTACAAGCAGAGAAATTACAAGCATGGCAACTCCAACTACGGGCTACATAATCTAAAGCAGCAATAGGGCAAGCGGAGCCCGCGTCTACATGCGGTGAGCTCCAAGGGCGTGAAGAACGCCCGTCAGCGTCCGCCACAGCTCCCGGACCCCAAGCGTGTTTGCGCCGATCGCGGCGGCTCCGGAACAGCGCGCAAGTGTCGCCTCAAGCCCCGGACGGCCTCGTCAAGCTGTCCCACAGCCGCAAATCCGCCCACTGCGGGCGCAGCCAACACGGGCACCAGCAGCTGCGCGAGCTGGTCAGCCGCGTCCAAGCAAATGTCATGTGAACGGTCCTGGAATGAGTCGGGGGGAACTGCAGGGAGCGACGAGTGCGCCAGCACATAAATCAGCAGCACCGCGTGTAGGCTCTCCGCAAGACGGAAGAGCTGGCCAATCGTCGCCTCAGGAACACGAGTCTGCGGGGGCTGAAGCGCCTCCGCCAGGAATGACAGTGGCCCTTCGGCAGCAGGAGAGGTCGAGCCACCAGCAACGGGAGGAGGGTACTGCGCCCTCGCCGCTCCTCCTCCCGCGGCCACAAATTCTACTCCCGCCACCGGCGGAACAGGCGGCAGCCGAAGGCGTGACCCAGGGGCAGGAGCCAAGGCAGTAGGAGCAGGCGCCGCCAAAACACTGCTTAAGGAGGACGAGAGCCGAGTAGCGCTACATCTCGATATTGAGAACGCCTTCAACAGTGTCGAACGGCGGCATTCTTTCAGGCGCTCTCGCAATCGAGCCTGTTATCACTCCTACCCCTCGTACGCACGCTTTATGACGGCCCGTCCCGGCTCCTTGTGGACCACAAGCTTGGCGTCGATCAGATCATGAGCAACCGAGGAGTTCGTCAGGGTGATCCGCTCGGTCCGCTCCTCTTCGCAACGGCAATCCAACCGACACTTCTGAGCACGGCAACGCTCCTCCCCGAGGTGGCGATTGTCGCCTACGCCGACGACATCACCATTCTGGGCCCTCGGGACGCGGCCTATGAGGCTTTTGTCACCAGCACAAGGGAGCTCCGATCGGTTGGCCTCCGCTGCAACATCGCCAAGTCCTCGGGGTGGGGACCGGATACGGAAGGGGGGAATGAGATCCCACCACCGCAGGGCCTGCCCATGAACACCAACGGCATTGGAGTTTTGGGAAGCCCGATCGGCACGGCCGATTCTGCACAGACCAGGCACAGACAAGCCTCACAGAAGCGGCCGCACCGCTGCCCCTGATTGCTCAGCTGCACCCACAGCACGCTATGCTAATACTCTCGCGGAGCATCTCCCGCAGGATATCGTACCTGCTGCGGACCACCCCGGCTACAGTGCTGGAGAGGGAGGAGTGGAGGTCGTGGAGCGAGACTCTGATGGCGACAGCAAAGCTACGGGTCCCATCGAGTGAGCTGGAACAGAGCCTGCTGTGGCGGCAAGGAACCCTTCCCGTCAGGCTGGGGGGGCTAGGCATCATTGACCCTACCTCGGAGGCACCGGCAGCCTACATCGCGTCAGTAACGGCAGCCCACACCCTACTGCGGCAGATGAACCTGCCAGAGGCGTACCTGCTGAAGAGGGCGGTCACACGGCTAGACCATGCGTGGAGCCCTGCCCCACCTGAAGTCAACCAGCTAGCCCCACTGGAGGCAGCCCTGCCGGCATCAGCACGAACCGCACTACAGGCGTTCAGGGAGCAGCCGACAGGACAGGGCAACCTTCAGCTACTACTCTCTCGCCACATCTACGAGAGACGGGCAGCGGAACTGCTGGCTGACACGATCACAGACCGCCCAAGCACACACCGCGGGCACGCCATCCGCCTCATCAGCCTACAGGGGGTGGGGGCAGGGGACTGGCTACATGCCGTGCCTTCGAGAGCTGACTTTACATTTGCCCCTGGTCAGTTCTCCTTGGCGCTGGGGTTCCGCATGGGCATGTCCCTGCCGGTCACTGAGAAGTGTCCCTGCAAGAGAGAGTATTCAGACATCAACGACACGAGTCTGCCGAACCATCTCCTTAGGTGCGGGTACGGGGGCGACGTCGTTAGAACGCACAAGGCGCTAGTGTTTGCAGCCCTCAGAATGGCAAGGGAAGCGGACTTCACGTGCTTCCACGAGACATCAGCTTTTTCCCCACCAATCCTCAGGAAGAGGGGAGACCTGGCGATTCGAGACAAGGAATCAAACGAGACCTGGGTTACAGACGTGACAGTGACTGACCCTGTGCTCCAGCAGCGCGACACCAGGGCACGGAAACCACCAGGATGGGCGGCTGAGGAGGCATCGGCTAGGAAGCACAGGGAATATGAGGATCGGCCAGACTACGTCGGCTTCTTTGGCCTCGCAGTTGAGACGTATGGGGCTCTGTCCTCGGACACACAGGAGTTCCTACGGCTACTGGCCACCTCAGCAGCCAAGAAGAAGTACCGCCAGGGGAAGTTGACAACGACGACTGCACGGCTCACTGCACACTACCGGCAGCGCTGGTCTGTGATGTTGCAGCGCTCCCAGGCGACGTCCTACCTGAACAAGTCAAACCTCTCTGATGAGGCAGCGTTCCCCCAGGCTGCTAGGGACCCTTGGGAACCTAGCCTGGGGGACCTCTGGCAAGTGCTGGAGGATGAGCTGGAGGTTGTGATGGCTCAGTAGGCGGGAGTAGGTGTAGGCCAGTGATGTAGCCATGGCTCGTTTGCTGCATGTTTGGCCTGAATGACCAGCCTGCCTGGACTGCTGGCCGTGCTTGGCCTTGCCCTGCAGTGCCCTGCTTTGCTGGACTGCTTTGTCGGCTTGGCTTGCCTCACCTGACCGGCTTGTCTGTGTGCAGATGTCCTGCTCGTTTCACGCTCCTGCCATGCATGATTAGTAGCCCCAAATGCCTAGGCCTGCCTAGCTCTATTCCTGCCATGCCTGTACCCCTATGAACCTATCAATGAAGGACTGCTTGAGAGGACTAGCCGGTGCCCTCTGCCCTTAGCCTCCGCCCTCGGTTGCCTAGCTATTTAAGGGCCCGTCTTAGCCTGCTCTTCCTCATTATTCAGTTGGCGGCTGAAATTTTCCGCTCGCTCGAGAGAGCGAGAGAGAGAGAGAGAGAGAGAGGACTAGCCGGTGCCCTCTGCCCTTAGCCTCTGCCCTCGGTTGCCTAGCTATTTAAGGGCCCGTCTTAGCCTGCTCTTCCTCATTATTCAGTTGGCGGCTGAAATTTTCCCCTCGCGCCGGCCGCCTTCGGCGGCCGACGCTCGACGGCGCGGCCTTCGGCCGCGCGTGAGGGGACGGCAAGTAAAACGACACACAGTTGCTTATACTAGGAGACATTACACGCATGGCAAGTCCTACAGCAAACTAGCTGGACGAAAGCAAGCATGGGGCAGTCGGAGCCCGCATCTACATGCGGTGAGCTCCAAGGGCGTGAAGAACGCCCGTGAGGGAGCGCCACAGCTCCCGGACCACAAGCGTGCTTGCGCCGATCGCCGCGGCTCCAGATCCGGCGCGCAAGTGCCGCCTCAAGCCTCGGACAGCCTCGTCAAGCTGTCCCACAGCAGCAGCGCCACCCTCCGCGGGCGCAGCCAACACGGGCGCCAGCAGCGATGCGAGCTGGTCCGCCGCGTCCAAGCACGTGTCACGCTGGCGGCCGCGGAAAGTCTCTGCAGGAATCACGGGGAGGGACGAGTGAGCAAGCACTTGAATCAGCAGCAACACGTGGAGGCTCTCCGCGAGTCGGTGGAGCTGGCCAAGCGTCGCCTCGGGAACACGCGTCTGCGGAGGCTGAAGTGCCTCCGTTAGGAAAAGAAGTGGCCCATCCGCAGCATCGTGGTGGGAATACTGCGCCGACGAGCCACCACCCACAGCAACAAACTCTACTCCCGCAACAGGCGGGACCGGCGGCAGATGAAGACGAGAGCCGGAGGGAGGTGCCGATGCAGCAGGAGCAGGAGCCGGCGGGACGAGAATCGGTGGCGGGGGTGCAGCGACAGGCGACGGACTCAAGGGGAGCGCAGCCGGACGAGGAGCCTCAACGGCTGGCGAGGCGCGCATCGAACTGCTCTAGCTTTGCGCCGCCCTCTCCTCACGAACAGCCCTCGACACCTCCCGCTGAAGATCCGCCATCGTCACAGGCGGACGGTACCCCCCACCACCGCCACGCCCGCGGGGACCCCTCCAGTCCCCCTGACCGCCAGGGTGCGCAGGCGAGTGCGCCTGTTGCTGATAACGGCGCGGTGAGTCACGCCTGCGGCGAGACGACCTACGCTCCTGCTGGGGCGCGGGGGAATGGGGCCGAGATAGTCGACAGTCAGGTGACGGGGGACGCGACGGCTGAACTGCCGGGGCCGCCGGCGCACCAGCAAGCGCCACAGCGGGCGACACTAGCAGAGCCGGGTCGGCAGTGGTGGCGGAAGCCGCCTTTGGCGGCAAAGCAGACGCCGAAGCAAGGTCGGCGGGGGCAGAAACGGACGGTGCAGCGGGCGCGCCAGGGAGGGGAACCGGGGGATCAGCAACGGCCCCGGCAGGCGCGGGTACCGACGGTACAACAGAATCAGCCGGTGGAGCAGGAGCAGCAGCCGGAGGGGAGGGAGAAGCAACAGGCACGGACTGGACAAGGGCAGTCACGGCAACAGGAGCATCGGGTGCGAGGGGAGGAGGCATTTCAGAGACTGCTGACGCGGGCTTCGGAGCAGGAGGGAGAGGGGGCTTCATCGCCGTGGTCGCCCCTTTAGGTTCCGACGGGGGCTTGACGACCACAGCCGACCAAGAGGCAGCGAGCTCTGGCGACGGCTCGTCAGCACCAGCAATCACCATCGCGAGAGCAAGGAGACCGAGGGACGAGTAGACAGACGGCTAGTGGGATGGCTGGCGGTCCAGAGAACGGGTATCAGGCAGCGGGACGAACGGCTTTAATAGCGCTGGAGAGAGCTAATGAGGTCGATGAAAATGCAGACCCTACATATAGTGAAGAGACTCTCCCATCTAGCGAAGATGGCGACGGGGAGGGAGAAGATAGGATGAGGGAGACAGCGAGGGGAGTGAGAGAGGAGTCAGTGCAACGCCAGGAAGCAGACCAGGGACCGTCGGATGTCGATCGAACGGACGTAAATCCAACCGGCCCCTCGACCATGGGGACGAGCCGCGCTCATCGAAATCGAAGCGCGATTGCAAATTCAGCGGCCCGGCAGACCCCTCCAAACCCCCGCTATTTTTCAGCTGACGAACTGGCGAAGCGAGCAGACTTGTTCGCTGACATCGCGAACTGGGAAATTTCAGCACTAAGTGACAGTCGACAACCTACCTTGGCACGACGTTTACCGCCCAATCTGTGTCAGCTGTTCTCGCTGGCAATATTGACCCCGTTACTTCATCTGTCGCGGAACCCGGAATCCGAGGAAGGATGGCGCCTGCTGCTTTCCCTCCCACGACTTACACTGCTCCAAACCTCACCCCGACGCCCGAACTGGCCCCAGATCAAGGCTCGGCTCCGAGCCTTCCAGCGTGGCGAATGGGAGCAGCTGTACCAAGACGCAGTCGAGGCAGTCAACACCCCCCCACCGCCCCGCCACCAGCCCGACGCGACTGGAGTCATCAGCCGAGCCGAGGGCCTGGCGAAACGCGGCAGTCTCCGACGCACCGTGTTGGCGCTGGAGTCAACTCCAGTGTGCACACCTAGTCCAGAAATCCTGGACGAACTTCGCCAAAAACACCCGCCAGCTGCACACGCGACGACGACCTGGCCTGACACACGTGGGTCAAAGTTGACCATCACCCACGCTGAATTCGCTAAAATGCTGGGAAGATGCGACAATGGAGTGGGGGCCGGGCCATCTGGCACGACATTCGAGCACCTGCGCGACGTGGCAGTAACCAACGCACTGGTCAGCACCCATCTGCACGCCTTGGTAAATACAATGCTGGGAGGAAATTTACCAGGTGCGGTGGCAGACCTGCTGACGGCGTCGCGGCTCATCGCTCTGGCCAAACCGGGAGGAGGCGCCCGGCCAATCGCAATAGGCGAATGCCTGACCAGGCTTGCGGCCAAAGCTGCCCTGACAGTCATGGGAGAATCTGCCCGCGAGTATTTTCTACCACTACAATACGGGGTGGCGGTGCCCGGGGGAGCGGAGGCGATCATTCACGTTGCCCGTGCATTTTTAGATGCCCGTCCCAACAGTCTGGTTCTGCAAACGGACATTTCTAACGCATTCAACAGTATTTCATGACAAGCCATCGCCACAACGTTACACGACCACAGCCTTTCGCCATTGCTCCCGTTAGTCAAACTGACCTACGGTAACCCGTCGCTGCTGTACCTGGACGCAAAATTCAACAGCAAACCTTTAAAAAGCGAACGCGGGGTTCGCCAGGGCGACCCACTTGGACCACTACTGTTCGCAGCGGGAATACACCCCACACTTCGAGAAACGGCCGAGGCACATCCGGATGTACTCTGCCTGGCTTACGCGGATGACGTCACTTTACTAGGGGAAACGCCTCGAACAGTTGCAGCTTTTACGTTCTTCACAGACAAACTGGCACGCCTGGGACTGAAGCACAGCCCACAGAAGTGCGCGGCCTGGAGTTCGTGCACGGTTGATCAGACGCAACTTCCGCCAGGAGTGCCGTATTCAGCAGACGGGGTGCGACTCCTGGGCAGCTACATGGGGCCCGACTCTGGGGCGGCAAGATTTTTGTCTGGACAGCTGGAGGAGATGGCGAAGCCACTGCCCCTCCTGGAACGAGCAGACCCCCAGGTAGCCTCGCTGTTAGTCACGCGCTGCATCTCCAGGCGCGTGGCTTACCTCACCAGAACGACGCCACTCCATCTACTCCCCCGAGACAACTGGAGCCAGTGGGGACAAGACCTGCTGACAGCACTGCTGGTAGCGTGTGATATCCGCGTTCCAACGAGCAGAGCCGAACAAGCACGTGTCTGGGCGCAGGCTTCCTTGCCACCGTCACTAGGCGGCATCGGCATCACGGACCCCTTAGTAGAAGGCGTATACGGCTTCACGGCTAGTTTCCTCCAGGCTGCGCTATTCCTCTCCTCCCTCGAGCTAGACCCAGAAAACGCATTGACCCAGGCGAGGAACCACATGCTCTTGCCACGGGACGACACAACGCCTCTGCACACATGGCTTACCGAGTGCGAGGCAGCGTTGCCAGGAGACGCGAGGGAGATTCTGGAGAAGGAGCGTTTGTCACCCTCGGACATAAGGCTCCAGCATGTGCTCGGTTTGAAGGTCCACGGCAGCAGATACGCCGTGCAGGTCCAGGGCACGAGGAAGATGAAGCCGAACCCGCTCTCAGGCCATACGCAGCGGATGTTCTCTCTGACAGGATACGGAACTGGTGTCTGGCTGACCGCTATCCCTATTGCCCCAAACAGACGAGTAGGACCCGTGCACTTCGCCAATGCTGTGCGCTTTCGGCTAGGCCTCCCTTTTTCAACGCCAAAGAAGTGTGACTGCTCTGACCACACGGCTATCACTGACCCCCGCCTCCCAACCACCTCCTTCGCTGCGGCACAGGAAAGCACCGCATCAACACCCACAACGAGCTGCGGGACGCATGCATTAGCATGGCGCAGGACGCGGGGTTTATCGTGCATAGCGAGTCGGCCGCCCACTGCCCCATCGAGGAACAGACGGCCGATTTCACTATGACTGACAGGAGCAGCGGGGCGGTCTATGTGTGTGACGTCACCATCACGGACCCCATCAGCACAAGGGACCCCGAGGCACTGAAAGGAAGGGGATGGGCGGCACGGGAGCAGGCTGACAAAAAGATAAAGCATTACGCCAACAGGCCGGAGACAGTTAGCTTCTTCCCTCTGGCCGTGGAAACCTATGGCTGTCATGTAGGGAGACTCCTGACGACGCCTTGAGGTCTCACGCTCGTCTCGCGGGGAGGGCGAGTGGGGACGTGACGGGCGGCGATCGGGAGATTGTGGGCGTGACGGCTGCCCGGACTGAACCCCCAGCGGCGCAGCAGGCGCCGACTGAACAGCCCCAACAGACTCCACCGCCGGGGCAAGGCCGCCAGTGGTGGCGGACACCGCCGCCAGCGCCAGGTCGGTGCCCAGAGCAGCTGGGGCAGCAGGGACGGCGGCAGCTGGTGGCACAACGACAGCAGCGGAGGCCACGTGTTCAGGCTCTTGACGCGGGAGAGCGTGAGGGGCAACCACAGGGGCAGCGGGGCCAGACTGAGTCGCGGCAGCAGCTGGGGGCGAATCAGCAGCAGGGGGAGCCGGGTTCGGGAGAACAGGGACCGCAGGTGCTGACGACGCGGGCTTCGGGGCAGGCGGCAATGGCGGTTTCATCGCAGCCGTCGCCGAGGCAGATACCGCCTGTGATTTTTCGATCACCACTGACGCAACGACAGCACGCACTGGCGACAGCTCAGGACCTCCGGCAATCACCATCGCGCAGCGGAAGAGGACGCGGCCGCGGGAGACGGGCTGTAAGCGGCGTAGGCGGAGGACCGGAAAACGCGTTCCAAGCAGCGGGGCGAAGGGCTTTAACCACTCTCGATACTGATCCGGAAGAACGAGCAGACCCTTCTTATAGGGAGGAAGCACATGCGTCGAGCAGCAGTAGTGAAGAGGAAAACGAGGAAGGGGAGAGAGATCAAACTGGGAGACGAAGCGGTGAAAATCAGAGGAACCCGGCGGTGGAGACGAGGAACAGACAGGAGCCGCAAGATGAGGATCGTACGGCCACATTTCCAACCCTACCACCCATCCAACTCCCGGGCCGCGGTCGTGCAAATCGAGCCGCAAGAGCGCAGCAGATTGCTGCCCAGCAGATAGAAAATGCGCGCTACTTCTCGCCAGAAGAGCTGGCGAGGCAGGCAGATAAATTCGCGGAAGTGGCGATGTGGGACGTTGGGGCACTCTGCGACAGTCGCCAACCCCCCCTGCTACGAAGACTCCCGCCAAACCTGTGCCAGCTTTTTTCGCTGGGACTGCTGACACCACTTTTACACCTCTCACGAAGCCCAGAGTCCGTCGCAGGTTGGCGGTTACTACTCTTCCTCCCCCGCCTCACACTTCGCCAGGGATCGCCGAAACGCCCCGATTGGCCCAAAATCAAAAGCCGGCTCTGCGCATTCCAACGTGGCGAATGGCAACAGCTATACCTGGACGCGGTGGAAGCAGTCAGAACACCACCCCCGCCACGTCATCAGCCTGACGACACAGGCATCATCAGTAGGGCAGAAGGGTTGGCGAAAAAAGGAAGTCTGCGCCGGGCTGTGCTGGCGCTGGAGTCAACGCCAGTCTGCACACCTAGCCCGCAGATCCTGGACGAACTTCGCCGCAAACACCCACCAGCCGACCCAGAGCCTCTGACCTGGCCACCCATTACCGAACCAACAAACCTGGAAATTCCGTACGCGGGTTTTACGAAGCTGCTCAGCCGATGCGAGAATGGCGTGGGGGCCGGCCCGAGCGGAACGACATTCGAACACCTACGCGACGCAGCAGTAACAAACGCATCCGTCACCACCCATCTACACGCCTTAGTGAACACAATTCTGAGAGGAAATCTGCCACCGCCCGTGGCGCAACTGCTCACATCATCGCGCCTGATAGCCTTGACCAAACCTGAAGGGGGGGCCCGCCCGATTGCGATTGGTGAATGTCTGACCCGCCTAGCAGCAAAGGCGGCTCTGACTACCCTGGGAGAAGCGGCGCGGGGTCATTTCCTTCCGCTGCAGTTCGGCGTGGCTGTGCCTGGCGGAGCAGAGGCCATCATTCACACTGCGCGAGCATACACTGACGCACATCCCAACTGCCTCATTTTGCAAACCGATCTTTCCAACGCCTTCAACAGCATATCGAGACAAGCCATAGCGACATCGTTACAGGAACCTGCTCTTTCACCACTGCTACCCCTAGTGAAACTGACCTACGGCCAGCCGTCACTACTGTTCCTAGACACTAGTTTCGACAGCCCACCGCTAACAAGTGAACGAGGGGTCCGGCAAGGAGATCCCTTGGGCCCGCTCCTCTTTGCGGCAGGAATTCACCCTGCCTTACGAGCTACATCAACGGCACACCCTGGCGTGCTGTGCCTTGCATACGCCGACGACGTCAGCTTTTTAGGTGACCCACGTGAGACCGCCGTTGCCTTTGCCCTCTTCACGAGCCTGTTAGCCCAAGTAGGCCTATCTCACAATCCAGGGAAATGCGTCGCATGGAGCAGAGAACCGATAGAAAGCACTGTGCAGCTGCCACCAGGGGTGCCGACAAGTGACAGAGGCGTCAGACTCCTCGGCAGTTTTCTAGGAACACCAGATGGCGCCGCCGCCTTCGTAACCGCCCAGCTACAGGCTATGTCCAAGCCGCTGCCCCTGATAGAACGAACGGACCCACAGGTAGCATCTCTCCTGCTCACGCGCTGCATCTCACGCCGAGTGGCGTATCTCACACGAACAACCCCACTGAATCTCCTAGACCACGACACCTGGTCACAATGGGGCAGGGACCTACTGGCCACTCTTCTAACAACGTGCGGCATTCGCTTTCCGACGGATAGCATAGAACAGACCCGGGTCTGGGAGCAGTCATCACTTCCGCCGTCGCTGGGCGGTATTGGACTCACAGACCCCACGGTGGAAGGAATGTTTGGCTTCCTAGCTAGTTTCACACAGGCGGCACTCCTCATTAGTTCCCTACCGCTGGAGACAGAAGAAGCCTTGACGGCAGCGAGAAACCACATGCTACTGCCGCGAGACACCGGCACTGCTCTGCACCAATGGCTGACCGAATGCGAAACGGCGCTACCGTTCGAGGCCAGGGAGATACTGGACAAGGAGAAACTAGAACCAAAAGGAGTGAAGCTGCAGCACGAGCTCGGGGTGAGAGTGCAGGGACGCAGATATGCCACGCAAGTGGAAACAACGCGGCACATGAGTCTGAACCCGCTGTCAGGACACACGCAACGGCTATTCTCCCTGACTGGCTACGGGGCTGGGGACTGGTTAACTGCTATCCCAATTGAGTCAACCCGCCGTATGGGCCCTGAGCACTTTGCCAACGCCGTTCGCTTCAGGCTTGGGCTCCCCTTCTCTACGCCCGCTAAGTGTGACTGCTCCAGGCACGTAGCAATACCGGACCCACGCCTGCCGAACCATCTCTTCCGCTGCGGAACAGGCAAGCACAGGATCAATACCCACAACGAGCTTCGTGACGCGTACATTACAATGGCAGAGGACGCCGGTTTTATCGTTCATGGAGAATCTGCGGCCTACACCCCAGTAGAGGAACAAACGGCAGATCTGACCATGCGGGACAGAAGTTCGGGCGCCGTTTACATCTGTGATGTCACCATCACAGACCCAATCAGCACCCGGGATCCAACTGCTACCAAGGGGAGGGGGTGGGCGGCGAGAGAGCAGGCTGACAAGAAGATCAGCCACTATGCTAGCCGCCCGGACACTGTAGGCTTCTTCCCCTTGGCAGTTGAGACATACGGGTGCCCCTGTGCCGAGGTCCCACAGTTTCTGAAGCTATTGGCGGACACAGCTGCTAGGCGTCACTTCAACGCCCAACCTCACTCATTTCATGCAGCCAGATTCCTCCATCTCTTCAGGCAGCGGTGGTCAGTGGCTCTCCAGAGAGCACAGTCAGTGGGTTATTTGATTAAGTCCAGTCAGGCGGCAGTAGCTGAAAATCCCCCCGTGGGGGGGGTACAGTCCGAGCTCCACCTTGGGGACTGTTGTGCTGTGATTGAGCCCCTTATGGAGCTGTAGAGAGGCAGATGTGTTTAGTTAGTTAGTTGTTTGCTTAGTATTACAACCCTAGTATCTATGCTTTGCATGTTTGTACCGTTTCGCTATATCAATGAACGGACCATTAGAGAGAGAGAGAGAGAGAGAGAGAGAGAGAGAGAGAGAGAGAGAGAGAGAGAGAGAGAGAGAGAGAGAAGAACGAGCATGACAGTACATCTATCCTTCTCCCTACAGACTGGCTGGCCAGAAGAGGAAGTACAAGGTGCACAGGGGAGATCACAGTGGGGACGGCAGAGGAGAGGAGGGGCCACGGGATCAGGCTGATCAGTTTGAAAGGGGTGGGGGCAGGCGACTGGCTTCACGCAGTGCCAACAAGAGCTGACCTTACAATCTCCCCCGGTCAGTTCTCCTTGGCCCTAGGCCTCCGCCTAGGCATGGAATTACCAGTGGCTGAGCTCTGCCCATGCAAACGGCAGGGCTCGAACATCCTGGACAAGAGCCTGCCGAACCACCTCCTGCGCTGCCAAGACGGTGGGGATGCTGTCCGCACACACAATGCTCTCGTCTACGCGGCGCTGCGCATGGCGAATGAGGCCGGTTTCAAAACTTTCCACGAGACTTCGGCCTTCTCGCCTCCAGTCCTCAGGAAGAGAGCGGACCCAGCGATACGGGACCAGGAGTCGGGAGAGACCTGGGTGACAGACGTCACCGTGACAGACCCAGTTCTGCAGAACAGGGATGTGCGAGCGCGTAGGCCGCCAGGATGGGCTGCAGAGGAAGCTTCACAGAAAAAGCATCGGCTGTACGAGGGGCGACCGAGCTACGCGGGGTTCTTTGGGCTTGCTGTCGAGACGTATGGGGCTATGGCCGCTGACACAGTCCAATTTCTACGCATGCTAGCCACCCACGCGGCGAAGACTAAGTTCAGGAAAGGGAGGCTTACAACAACCGCTGCCCGGCTCAATGCACACTACCGCCAGAGATGGTCGGTGATGCTGCAGCGGAGCCAGGCCATCTCCCTCCTGTCCAAGTCCAACCGCGCAGCAGAAGCGGCATTCCCACAAGCGGCGGGGGACCCGCGGGCCCCACGATTGGGAGACCTATGGCAGATGACAGAGGACGAGTACGAGGAGCGAGAGGCTCTTGCCAGAGCGGCTTAGACGGACTCGGGGAGGGGGGGGGGAAAGTAAGATAGTGGAAGGAAGGTGGGCGGAAGCTGCGGGGCGGAGGTTGGAGAGGACAGGGGCTAAGGCAGGGGGAGGGCTACAGGACAGGACAGGAGAAGCGGGAGGCCTCCAGGGACTGGTGAGAGGAATATCCTCTGCCTTCAGCCCTCAGCCTTTTGCCCTCAGCCCTCAGCCCTCTGCCCAAGGCTATGGGTATTTAAAGGGGCCTACGGGCTCTGTTCTCCCTCATTATTCAGTTCTCATTTTCGGTTGGGAGAGAGAGAGAGGAATAGCCTCTGCCTTCAGCCCTCAGCCTTCTGCCCTCAGCCCTCAGCCCTCTGCCCTAGGCTATGGGTATTTAAGGGGCCTACGGGCTCTGTTCTCCCTCATTAAGGGGCCTAGGGGCCTTCGGTCGCGCGTTCAGGATGGCAAGGGGGAACAACAAGTAGCAGCTTAGGCAACCAATACAAGCAAGGCAAGCAAGAACACCTAGCAAGACGACGATGGAACGGGTCTACACGCGCAAGGGGGGAGCGCCTACATGCGGTCCGCCTCTACCACAGCAAGCATTCCGCTCGCGTTCAATGACAACTGGCGGACCACTAACACGGTGGCGCCTACAACGTCAACAGGAGTACCAGAGCCTCCTACAAGCGTCTTCAAACCCAGGGCCGAGTCAGCCAGCTGGGTGGCCGAGGTTGCTCCCGGCGAGGGCGCTACCTGCAGTGGCGTTGCGAGCGCGAATAGCGCTGACGCCGCCGCATGACAATCAGCTCGCGGCTTCTAAGAGAACCTGCTCGGAGGGCTCACCGGCATGGAATCATATGACTCCTGGAGAATCCGCTCAAGGCTCTGCAGGGCTCCGCCAGCGACCATAGGTGGGCCAGGGTCGCCGTGGGAACTTTCTTCATCGGCGGAAGCAACGCAGTTGCGAGGGCACGGCGAGTCGACACGGCAAGATCACGAGGAGCAGGAAGAGGACTCGGCGGAACAAACCGAGCCCACGGCGGCCCGCCGCCAGCGCCCACGAAGCCAGTTCCCGCAGGCAGTGGATGATCGGAGCGCGCCGGGGACCCCACAGGATTGTGGAGCAGAAGTGCAGCGAGAGGAACGACCGGTGCAGCTGGAGGGGCGGATTGCGACGACGACCCCGCACGCGAGCGGTGGAGAGCCTTCTCCACACCGTCCAACCTCTTCAGGACGCGCTCCATTGCGGAAGGCGCTGGACGCGCAGTTCCGCCACGACCGTAACCTCCCCGTCGCCCACGACGCGCACGCCCACTCGTGTTCGAGCGCACAGGCGACTGCAGGCGAGATCGGCCCTGCTGACGCTGGCGGCCAGGGGAACGGAACGGTCCCCGCGACAAGGAGAGTAGAGCTGTTGGCGCTTTGCAGGAGGGGGCGAACGCGGAGCCAAGGGCCGATGCCCAGACGTCTGGCGGGCAGGCGATCGCTGACGAGATGAACGGTGAGCGGGCGAACGATGACGATGCGAGCGGCGGTCACGGGACCGGCTCCGCGACGCCACGCGACGAGGCGAACGAGGCGACCGCGGCGAACGAGGCGACCGCGGCGAACGAGCCACACCGTGACGATCGTCGCGGCAGCTCTCCTGCTTATCGTCGTGAGCTGCCGGTGAACGACGGCGAGGCGAACGCTCCCGGTGCACCACAGCCTCTGCGCCGGAGCGCGCGACGGACCCCGCGCGCAGGGGCTCCCGCGGTGACAAGGACATGCCCCTGCGCGGAGCCAACTCGCGCCGCTGATCCTCGAAGCTGCGGCGGATCTGATCAGCGGACGCCGGCGGAGCAACAGGCACGCTCGCGGCAGGGCGCGCAGGAGGAAGCGGACGAGGAGCGGGATCGCTCTCCGCGGTGCAGTTACGGCCCAGAGCGCCAAGGAAATCCATTGGCGAGCGCTCAGGGCGCTCCACTAACACGAGAGGAGCCGACAACGCCGATCTCCCAGGCGCAACAGGCGGCACCCGTGGCAGTCACTCCGAGGAGCGGACGGGGAAGCACGCGGGGGAGAGGCGGGCGTCGAGGAGCACGCGGAGGACAGCAGAGTGCAGGCCAAGCGGCGAGGGGGAATCCGCGCCAACTACCCAGCCCAATCTGGTTGGGGGAGCCGGCGGAACGAGTCACGCGCCAGTCGTTCGCTAGACGCGGGGGGAGAGGAGGAACGACAGCGCAAGCAGTGAAAATCGGTGATACAAACGCAGAGGGGAGTGGCGACGAATATCTACCGTCAGATCTGAGGCAACCTGACAATCCCGACTCACCTCTCGCGGAAGCACGGGAGGAGCACGCGCAGCAGCAGGAGAGAGGTTCTAGCCGGCGAAGGAACCGCAGACCCCTACCCCCTCCGGACCAAGCCCTGTCAGCGTCCCAGCTGGCATCAAGGGAGGATCTCTTTGAGATCGCGATGAGCTGGGACTCTTCAATCCTAACGTCGACCACTCACCTGCCTATCGTCCGCCGCCTGCCACCGCAGATTCTAAGCGATTACTCCACCTGTATGCTGGCCGCCCTCTTACGGATCTCTAAGCTGCCAAACTGCGCGGGAGCGTGGCGGGTCCTCATGTTCCTGCCACGTCTCACCTTACGACTTAGCAGGAGGTTCAGCTCTAGGTGGAAGGTGCTGCGAGCAAAGATGCACCTAGCCATGCAGCCCAGGAGAATCCAAGGGAGCTGCGGCGATGCGAGCTCTGCCAGTCAGGGGACGGCGCAGGGGTGTGCCAGTAGGACGAGCAGGCATCATCGCGGGAGTGCCGGTCGATGGGAGGGCCATTGAGGTAGGCCACTTGTGCAGATGCGAGGCGGAGGGGGGAGATGACAAGGCGCTTCTGGCCGTAGAGTGAGAGGTGGTCCAGATGGAGCGGATCGGCGCTATTACAGGAGAGGACAAACCGTTTGGCCACAGCTGTGAAGGCCTTGAGGGAGCGGGAGAGGGTGAGGAAGAGCGTGAGGGTGCTCTGTGCGAAGTAGAAGCGGAGAACGCGAGCCGATGACAAGTCGAAACAGTACCTGTTGCTGCCTCCTCCCCTAGGGCCCAAGGACGGTTTATCCAATATCCAACGCTCATAAAGCGTGAATTCTGTGAGCTGTGGTGTGAGCTTGGCGAGATACATGACATCCACGTAATCCCAGTCCACGTGCTTGAGAGTCAAACTGCGCAGAGCCTTGAACTCATCCGCCCAGCCGTCCCCAAGAACCCACTTGCCCCGCCCCAGCTTCAGCCGCTGCAGATCCGGGCAGTTTAAGGGACGGTCCCAGTATTCCTGCTCCACGTCCTCCCGATCGCCCTTTATCACGTCGTCAAACAGCTGGGAGCAGTCCAAGCAGCCGCGCAGCTTGAGGCTGAGCGAGGTGAGGGAGGAGAAGTGCCACTTGCGCTTCGAGTTGAGGGTGTCGAGCTGCATGACGTGCGTGTACGTGAGGGCGAGGGACCTGAGGCCGCGCCAGCGCAGGAAGAAGGCGACGCTCTTCTCCCAGTGAGGATGCAGGTTGTTGTAGACCAGAGAGATGGGTGGTGGGCCTGCGGAGCGGGGAGAGGGATGGGAGAAGGAATGAGGCACAGCAAGGTTGCTCAAATCCAGATCTGAAGCATGATCTAAAGAAGGCGACGCTCTTCTCCCACTGAGGATGCAGGTTGTTTTACGCCAGAGCAATAGGGTGGTGGGCCTATGGTGTGGAGAGGGATGGGTGGGAATGCAGGAGAGAATGTGAAGGCTGGTTGGCTGGGAGATGGGGTGGTGGGTTTGGGGAGATGGGTGATGAAATGTGATGGGAATGGAGTTGTCAGATAGGCTGCTTGTTTGGCCAACCAGGACTGTGCTAGGAATCTCATATACTAGCCAGGGTGCAATTCAAAAGTCAAGTACAAAACACAACAGCACTCACGGAGAAGGAGAGGACGAGCTCAAGGAACCTCTTGCTGGCCATGGCACAGCACAGCAACGCCCACCCACTGCCATAGCTTTTCACATTCTTCCGGTGCTGCCCGACTGCTGAGAAGTCAGGGTCCATAAGTTTCACGGGCAGGTTTCTGCCCGTTGGAGGCTGCATTGTGGCGGTGAGGTCCCAGGGCGTCTTTCGTCTGCCCCGTGCAAGGGGGTTGTCGGGGTGGGAGGAGCCGGGCGGCAGCAATAGGCAGCGGAACACACGGTGCCAGAGAGACGCCGGCAGCATGTCTATAGGATCACGAGAGGTGGCGGCTGGAAGGAGAGAGGGGTGAGATGGGTGAGGTGGGTAAGGATGGGTGAGTGGAATTGATGCGGCTGTGAAACGGAAAAAGTCAGACGCCGGCAGTACAAATATGGGATCACGGGGGTTGGCTGTTGGAAGGAGAGATAGGTGATATGGGCGATATGGTTGAGATGGGAGAGTTGGGTGGAATGGGAGAGGTGTGTGAGATGGGTGTGATGGGTGAGATGGGTGAGATGGGTGAGATGGGAGAGATGGGTGAGATGTGTGAGATGGGTGAGATGGGTGAGATGGGTGTGATGAGTGGGATGTGTGAGAAGAAGATTGCTGGTGGGAGTGAAGGAGGAATGTGAGACACCGGCAGTGTGTTCATGGGATCACGCCGGTGGGTGGCGACTGGAGGGTGAAATGGATGAGAGGGGAAGGTGAGGGATGGGTGGAGGGGTGCGGGAGAGCGCACACGTTCGCTTCTTTCGCGACCGTGTTTTAACAAGTAAGAGCACGTCCGTTATAGGGTGATTTCGATTTTCTTTTGGCGACGAGTTGATTTAGCATGGTTCTTGGAAATCTCCGTTCGAGCACTACTCGGAGTGCCCGAAGAAACGTCATCAAGTCGAACGAACGAAAGATTCTGTTTTGAGGCTCGATGGTGCGAACAATCTTGACGGTAAGGCAGTGGTGATGCGGGATTATCTATCACACGCCCTTGAATCTCCAAATACTCTTTCCGGTAGCGACAGAGTAGAGAGGGAGAGGAAGCAATACATGCTACGCACCGTGAAAGCGATATAAGTTGAAGTGCCAGCGATGGCATGGCAATTTGAACAAACTTAGAACGAGAACGGAAGTTACGGACTCACAGCGCTTGCAAGCGTGAATAGCTCGAAATGGAATGCTTAGGAGGTTGATATGAGCATGAAGAGAAGTCTAGGTGCTTTGCGTTCAGAGTGTGAAAGCGAGAAGAATAATATTCCTTGCCTTCAGGGTCACCATTGTTTTTCATTCTCTTCCCCTGGCGTCGCTCGCGCTCCCCCGTCGTGGGATCGTCAGTACGCTGCACCGATGTCATGGCGATCGAACTATCATAAAGCATCCAATCCGTCTGTACTCAATTTCATACATTCGCACTCACTACTAATTTCTAGCGTATTTTTCGCAACTCTAGCTAGTCCTACAGCCAGTTTCGGATGGCCCGCTGTTGCACATCGAAAAGGCTGCTTCAAAACTGCTCGCAATTCTACGTCCGACGGCTTGGGAATGGGAATGGCTGGGCTTCTAAAAGATCGCAGCATTCACTACTCATGCCATCAAGGGAGCCCAACGGTAACAAGAAAGCTGAACAGTCCTGACCTCTGGATGATGGTGTCAGAACCACGGATGATGTTGAAGAAGTTTTGTATTCTGCCATAATTGATTTCCGTTTCGGGAAATGAGCGGGTTGAAATGAAATTGGCGGGTGCGTTGTATGTTCGCTTCTAGCCATTTGAATCTGGTTTAAGAAAATCGGGTTGGAGCCATGAGGGGCGACAGAGAACTTTGACTGGCTACTGATGTGAGCCCCCCAAGGAATGGGTTTAAACATCACTTTCCGGTTCATTCCAATAGAAACCCTTGTATATTTGCACCCCTGGGTAACTGACCGTCCTTTATTAGCAAAGCTCATGGTTCTGGTGGGAAATGCTTTTTGGCGCCTGACGTTCCGCGCCCACCCTCGCGACACGACACTTCAATTTATTCGCGAATGAGGCGTGCGATTAGCAATCTGTGCTGTTATGTGATTCACCAAACGTCGATGCTGCTCGATTGACGTCACACTGTCGGACCGCTCTTCAGGAAACTTGAAACCTACGCTGAAAGAACTGAAACGAGCCAACACGCTTAGCGGAGTCAACATAAAGGTGAACAAAACTTGGTCGGGTTTCGGGTGGATGCTGTAACAGCCACTTTTTCGCGCGCCAGTTCGTCAAATTCTAGTATATCTTCGAGATTTGCGATGGGGTTGGATCCATCCTAGGGATTGTCGGTGACTCCCACGCAGGAACTCCCTCACAACTTCCGCAATTTCATTTCTGCAATTTCTGCACACCCGGGTTTCGGGTGGATGCTGGGATGTTCATACGGCGCGGCTCGGGAAAAACCCCGCCCACGCCTGGGGATGTACGGGGCGCGGAGCTATCGCGGGAGGCGTGGGGCGAAGTCGGCCCACCAGGATCACACCAGATTTGGACCTACCGCGGCCGTGCGTGGCTGAGTGAAACCCACCAGGCTGCCACCGAAAGCTCCGCGACCCCCCAAAAACCGAAAGAACCCACGTCGTTCTTACGCGCCAATGCATGCGCGACTCGGTAGAAAACGAACGCGATTGGTAGATAACATTGTCAAGGGGGACATTCCGCGCATGCAACTGCGCCCTCGCAAAAAAAACACTGCTATGATTGGATGAGAATGCTCGTTACAGTTCGCGAATAACAATCGCACAAGGATAGGGCTGGGAAGCGCACTGGGAGACTTGGTTCGGAAACAGCTGGCACGATCTGGTAGGCTCCATGTTGGCTGACACGTGCAGCAATTTGAACGAACCGCCCAGCAGTCGCTGTTTCTCCAAGACGCGATCGCGGTAACGTGTCAAGCACGTCTATGCCGTGTCCGGTCATTACTCCCAGCCTGCCCACAATTTCGTTTCCCGCTCTCCAGTTGCACGTCACGCTCTTCCCTCTCATGACCCACAGTGTTCACCAGACTTAGACGGAAAACGGGATTCCGTTGTCGCGGTTATGATCGCGGCCGAGCTCGAGTTTCCGTGAGCACCATGTTCGGGATTTAGAGTGGTACACGCAGAGATCGGACCGCGCATCATGTTGAGGCACGCGGTAAATAGGAGTAGGGTCAACCTCTCACGGTGCATGCACACCGTGAATCGAGTCGCGACGCCAATCCTTCACGAGTCCATCAATGCAGCAGGCAACACACCCGCACCCCAAATCCTTATTGCCGAACCGACCAGCGCTCCCGTGCAAAACCTGCACGCGCTCAACCCCGCATGGAGCACGCCATACGCGCAGCCTGTGGTCTTTGGGTCGCGAATGCCCGCGTTCCATCCACAGCAACTGGTCAACGGTATCCACCTAGCTCCGCGGTCACAGATACCGTTTGCGTCAGCGACGTACGCGATTCATACCGTACATGATGATTTGAACGCGAACGGAGTATCCACGCCTCATCCCGGGCCACAGATAGACGGACAACAGACCGCGTCCGCGTCCAGACCCACAAGCCAGCTGTTCGGGATGCCAGTGCGTGGCTTCGTAGGGCCGCAATACTCGAATATGGGATTTAGGTACGGGTACATCGGCGTGCAACCAGACCCCATGGTCCACGCACCCGCAACTGTCGCGACGCCTCCAATCGCGCCAACAACCCCATTCCCCAACGCGATTCATCCGGAAATACAACCAACGGTGCAAGCCCCGCCAGCCCCAAGCGAACCATTAGTGGTCGGTTTGCACACACAGGCGCGAACAGATGGCCCATCTTCGATCGAGGTTACCGATGGCTTAGGACGAGCTGTGAATGGTGGAGCGGTGATGAATGCAAGCGCGCGTGCACCTTCGCCGCCAATATGGAACGTTAACTCACTTTTGCCAGGAAACCCAGACGTCCACATCCACACCCCCGCGCAACTGACTGCAGATACCGCGACCGAAAGAGGTGGGCAACCACAGTATACCTCGGCAAATGCTGGACACGGGGCGGATGCAAGGGGGAACGCGGGACAAGGGACTGGTGCGAGAGGGAGCGCGGGAAGAGGGACTGGTGCGAGAGGGAACGCGGGAAGAGGGACTGGTGCGAGAGGGAACGCGGGAAGAGGGACTGGTGCGAGAGGGAACGCGGGAAGAGGGACTGGTGCGAGAGGGAACGCAGGAATAGGGACCGGTGCGAGAGGAAACGCGGGTAGAGGGAGAGGTGCGAGAGGAAGGGGTGGGAGAGCGAGCGCGGGACGGGGGACCGGTGTGAGAGGCAACGGAGTTAACGCGAACGGGAACGCGCCAGTAAATAGACCGCGTATAAGGAGGCGACGAGTCGATGTCGTGATGGTCACAGCACGCAACGGATCCGGGGAAGGGAGCGAGGGGACAAGCGATGAGGATGACGAGGACGGCGCCGACGATGCGGATGATAGTTGGAACGATGATGACGAGAACTACCTATCTAACTCGTTGTCCGCGCTCAATGAGGATGAGGCGGAAGACAATGAACGGGTGCGGGGTACGCGTAGGGACAGCGAGGTCCCTATCGCGGATTGGAACAGGCTTGGTGTGGACGACACGCCGGCCGCGAAAAGAGAGATGTGCATGGGAATCCTCTACGGTCTCTCTGAGGCCACGCTGAAAAAGTATCGCGGTTGGGCCAATGAGTACAAACGGTTCATGGCGCACGAGTTGCCGAAACTGGACGAGGGGAGGTTCGGGGAGGAGGCCGCGTTGAGAAACGCGAACCCCGACGAGATCGGGGCCGCGCTCGAATAGAACATGGGAGGTAGTTGGAAGATGGCGACAGGAGACGAGAAGTGGTTCCACGGCCCAGAGACGAATCCGTGGCGCTTACGCATATACGTAACCTTCCTCGCGAACGAGACGGTCGCACAGGCGGACAGGATGGCAACACTGAAGCGGCCCGACAAGACCTTGAAGAAGAGACGCCAGTGCACCCCTGCAATGCTGATGGGGCGTCTCAAGGCTCTGAACCTGCTCATCAAGCTGGACGGGGCCATTTTTCGGAAACCCGTCCTGAACCTGCTGCGCGACTTTGCGGAGTGTCGCATCTGGGTCCGCGTTCAAGTACGCGATCAATACAAGCGGTTTATCGCGTAAGTATCTGTACTCAGGTATCGTGCTGAACGTCACATGTTACCTCGTCCACTAACATTGGCCCTCTTGTCCAAATGGTTGCACAGGGAACACATGGATCGCCATCGGGGCACGGCCGCGGACACGTACACCCCTGACCAGTTTAAGCACATGATGCGGAAGTCCAGCATGGCCGCCATCTTAAGCAGCTTCACACTAGCCAAGAAAGCCTATACTCTGGCACTCCATCGCGACCTCTGCATCCGGACGATGACCGTGCTCGGTCATCACACTCTAGCCCGCGGGTGCACGATCAGAAACCTGCAGCTTCCAGACATGATGATGTGGAAGCTCGGCGCAAAATCTGAAACCGATCCAGTGAGGAACGCGTTCATGTTTGTCTGCGCGTGCAGGACGGGCAAGACGAACAAGGACTTCTCCCTCAACTACATCTCTGTAGTGAGGCACATAGACTGGACGCTGTGCGCGGTCGGAGCTACGCTGCTGTGGCTGCACTGGGTGTACGACTTGGTTCCCTTGCTCTACGAGGACATAGCACCTCCTCTGGACTTCACAGAACCCTCGACCTGGTACGACCAGTACCTCTTCTTCCCACTTCGCGCGGGTAACGAGAAGCAAATTCCTCCCACGACCCATCACGACTGGGCGGTGAAGATTCTGACGGACGCGGGCATCACATGCTCGCGTGTGGTTCACGCGACCAGGGCTGGTGGGGCGCAGCACGCGTCCGCGGACGGGATGCCTTCGGATCAGCTGGCGAGGCTGGGGGGCTGGCGCTTCATCGACGTGATGACTAAACACTATCTCACGACTATTCCAAGGGAGGCCGTGCTCCTGAAGGCTGGCTTCACAGGGGTTGATGGTGACTACTTCTTGGGTCGCGCAACAGTTCCTGTGAGCAAGGAGCTGAAGGAGCTATTGGAGAAGCACATTTTCCCATGGGCCGCCCCGGACAAAGGACAGAAACAGGTACGTATGGGCCGCGCACAGTAGTGTAAAACGACCGCGAGCATCTTAAATAATCATCTCCCACCGCGTTCATGATCGCGTTATTGTGTGTCACAGTGCATGTATTACAATCTGAAGATGGTCAGCGAGGACAAGGCGGAGAAGCAGGACACCGCGGGAATAAACATATTGCGGGAGCTAGACGGCGATGCTAGGATGGCGGTCGCGCAAGATCTGGCCATGTATTACATTCACCAGCGTGACACCCGTACGTGGTCAACAACCCGCTCTGCCAGACGGAGGAATTTGCGTCGTGGGCTGCAGATGTCTCCTTGGCTAATCAACTGGCCATAGTACAGCGTAACACACCTACATTGACCCAGGGCGCGGTGAGTACTGCATGGTCGCGTTATTGAATCGGCCATATTGTCAATGCCCAACCATCACATGTTCGCGGTCGCGTTCTGTCCATGCAGGAGGTCAGTACCAGAATGGACGCGCAGCACCAGGTGACCACTCTAACGGAGTACCTGACTCGTTCACAAGCAGACAACACCAGGCTGGGCCTAGAGTTGGCCGCGACTCAGAAACGGGTGACAGAGCTAGAGGGTCAATTGGAGGATCACGACCGAAAGCTGGCCGCGAAGGACGAGCGCGTGAATTATTTGGAGGCCCAGCTGTCGCGGCTCACCGTGAGCAGCTCAGGGCCCACCGCGGTTCAGAACCAGGCAACCACTCCTGGAGCCGCAGCCGCGCCTACCAATGCCACAACTCCAAACGACCAGGGGGCGAGGAAGAAACCCGCACCGCCCACCAGGGAACAGACGATTCGCGACGCGATCGTCCTTCCATGGGTCAACGCCACCAAACCGTCAGACGGATGGAAGCTGTACAAGACAACGCACCCGCTGATCCGCGAGAGTCCAGAGTCGCTTCTGGCCCAGCCCCGCGGCGCAGTTACGCGAATGGCCGCGCTCATTGGGGAGGAGGGAGGCGGCCAAAACGCGATAAACCGTGTCAAGCGAGTCATGAACTTCATCGCCCACAGGGTGGAGCAAGGAGACAACATCGCGGTAGTGCTCGACAAGCTCGACCTCGTGTGAGGAGCTGTGGGCATGTCGGGTGTATGGGAAGGGATCGCGGTAAAGAAGAAGAGTGTTGACTTGGAACTGAGCCAGCTCAAGAAGGGTTCTCCGGTGGAGGTGCAATTGCGTGTGAAATGGATGCTTGTTCGCGACCGTCTCATCAATGCCTCTCATCGTGAGTTCACGGTCGCGTGGCCCCAGTACTGTGCAATTATGCCCCAGTTACCCTAAATAGTGTGGTATATGTAGATCGCGATATTTGTTCCATTTTCTTCTTGAACCTCTGAAAATCCGATCGCGTTATACTAGTATGCCACACACTGGTATCGTGTGTTTGGGGCTGTTGATCGCGTTGCATATAAACACCGGAATGTATGGAATCAAAAAGTAATTCCACGCGAAGTTTACCTTTTGTTCGTTCGCGCTTGTTTATTGGGTGCCCCGTCCTCGTTAGACATTTATCATAAGTTGTTCCGAATGTCATCAATTTATTCTCACTCATAACACACCAACAAACGTTAACCTACATGCACACATGTCCGCAAACTCAGCATAATCCACCGCGAGTAGAACTCAAGCAGGGTGGACAAGCTATGCAGATGCTACGCGATACTACATGCACTCAAGACCGCTTCTTCGCGGACAGACGATCCTTGGGCAGGGCAAGGTACAGACCCAAGGACTCCATCTGCTTCCCTGCCACCGAGCAGTCGCACCAGGTGATGATAACGTCCACCGTTTCGCGGGCGGCCAACTCAATGTGCCTGAGATCGTGAGACTTGGCAACGACCTCGTTCACGACTCCACAAACGATCGCGGCGGCGACCGCCTTCGGGTCCGCGACAACCTGTGGCTCATCTTCCTCAGCCTGCTGTTGTTCGCGGTGATTGCGCTTCCGCACCGCATTGATGACGAACGCGGAAACTACGGGGAAGAGGCGGCTTCGATCTCCATAGCAACCTGCAGCTCGCGCGGCCAGATTTCCATTATCCGAGGGGCAGTGACGTTAGAACCGCGAGTAACCTCCCACACCATTGCAATGGCGCATGCGATCGCTCCCGCATAGTCCGTCGGCTCCACATCGCCGAGATCCGCTTCTTCTGCTGCAGCCTCCTTGCCTACCACCGCGGCCCATGCAATCACGTTGGTTGTGTGCATTCCGGGCTTGGTTAGCCCGCGATAGGATTCGAACATGCGTTGCCACCTGCCACGCAGTGCGTTGGAGCGGCCAGAACATGATAACATTACAAACCGTATGAACGCACTAGAAGATGGTGTTTTGGCACAGCTCACCTGTCCTTGCTTGCCACGAGATTGCGGTAGTGCATGGTGATTAAGAGGCCCGTATGTAAGCCCTCGGCGATGGACAGGTCCGCGGCCCAGTCTCGGATCTGCTTCTGGCTCAGGTTCAGCCCGGGGTCCACCTTCCCGTCGTACGGCAGCATCGCGATCGCGGTCTTGTACTGCAGGTCTTGGCGGTCGCCGTGTCCGAGCCAACGTTTCTTCCCCCCCAGATGGGGTTCAGAAACCAATCCGGGCCCGCCCCTGGGTGGAGCGCGGATACCGCAGCCCCTGCGCTTGGGGCCGGTGTCACCATGTCCTCCCGTTGTGCCACCTGCCACGACCACGGGGTCTCCGTCTTGCTCGTCCGCGCTCTCCTCGCCGCTATAAACATCGACCGCGGCCTCCCCACCCTGCTCTCCTCCGTCGCCCGCCTCCTCGACCCACCTGCTCACGAGACCCTCCAGCTCCTCGTCCGCATTGTCCTCGTCGATCGTGTACACGGGTGGAGGGGGCAACTTCTTGCCAGCCCTGCCGCGTTTCTCTGCCTTGACCTCGACCGAGGCCGCGATAGGACCTGAAGATGCGCTCGCGCTGCGCCCGTGATGACCTGCGGTTGTTGCAGCAAGAGCGGGTACGAGCGCGGTTTGTTTGCCTTCCGCCGCTGAAGCCGCCGCGGGCTGGACCTCACGCCTCGCAGCCTGCGAGGCTGCTGTCGCGCACCCCTCCCCATCTTCTGCCTTACCCTTGCCCTTACCAACTGCAACCGTCATTGTCGCGGTTGCAACGGCAGGGCCCGGAGGAACGGGTGCAGCTGCTCCAGGTGGGATGGGGCGCGAGCTCGAACCCGGTTGAGCATGCTGTGCTGCACCCCGCGATGCAGCGCCCCACTTCTGCTTCAGCATGTCCTGCACGCTCGGGCTGCGCACCGCGGCCGCTGCCTGGGGACCCCTCTGCCTCTTCGACCCCCGCTGACTCTCAGGCTTCGCACCCGCCGCCCGCTTTCCATGCTCAGCATCCCCGGGCTCGGCATACTCCGTCGCGGCTGGTTCTTCAGTATCCGTGCGCGGCGGCGGGCTTCCTCCAACGAGCGCGATGAGGGTGTGCAGCGCGTTCGTGACCCCGCTGGTTGTGATTGCCCGCTCTGCTGTCGCGGAAAGCGCGGTCGACATGTTGTCAATCTTCCGCGCAACCTCGTCCGTCAGCTTCTTCTGAGCGGATTCCATGGAGTCTGCCACCACCCCCTGCAGCTGTCCCAACCTCGCGTCCACTCGCCCCAGCACCAACGCCTCCTGGTTACGCGTGTCTATCAGAGCAGCCCTTTCCTGCGCGATCGCCCTCGCCTCCTTCTCCAAGGCCCGAATCGCATTAGAAAGCGCGGACGCGAGCTCCTCGTTACCCACTACCGTGACACCACTAACCCCCGACTCCGGGCGTTTCTTTAGCCATGCGATTTCCGCCACCTGCGCTGCAAGCTTGCAGTCGAGTTGCATGATCTCGGCTGCAAGCTTATGCGATGGCAGCGCGGACAGGGATTTGAAATCACGCGCCCCACGCACAGGACTCTTGCCCCCGACCTCACCGCTCGGGCCCGCGCTTCCAGCACCGGGGGCCAAGTGCTGCGCGAGTTGCCTGATGCTCTTGCCGGATGTCGTGGGCCTGCTTGCTGCCGCGGCCGCGACCACGTGAGCCTCCGCCTCCTCCTCGCTCGACTCCTCCCCCTCACGCTCTGCAGTGCGGTCAGCATCATCGATGGGTGCACCCTTAGCCACGGTATCTTCTGCCCCTTCGTCATCAGCGTGGACCACCGACCCCCCACGAGTGCCTCCGCGGTTCGAGACACCAGCGGCACCTGTGAGAGCGAGAACACCAGGATCAGCAACCTGCGCACCCGTTGCAACCTTTTGCACCTCCCCCGGTTCAACCCCGTCAGCCTCACCGCCGTGCTTGGGTCGCGGCATATCCACGGTCAAGTTGAACGCGAGCTCTTCGGCGGTTCGGTACGCCTCATGCCGCAGTGCATTCAGAATCTTCGCGTTGGGCCTCGGGTATTGCGGTCCGGATCCACTGGCAGCCACCGCGTCCAGTTGGGTAACGATCTTGTCGAACGCGAACAGACAAGCGAGGTTGCCGCATGAGCCCTTCAATGACGCCGCGTCCTGGAAAACAACACATGTTATTTGTTAGCACCGTTGCTCGTTTTCGCGGTCATCACGAACGCGTACACAACAAAGGCATACCAGATCGAACAGCCGAGTGGGATCTTTAAGCTGGCGGGACCGGGTGCAATGAATGGAGCCGCGCGCGAAGTTCTCGTCAACGCGACCCTGAAACCACCTGCCAATCGTACAGACAGTCACGCGAACGTATTGATATCCTGACTCATGCAGCGGAACTGGAAATAACAAGCAGCATACACATGAACGCGAAACTCACTCTACAAGCGCCTCCGACGCGGTGATGTGTTCCGCACCACCAGAGGGGATAGCAACGCGAACGAACCGCGTGTCCCATGTCTCGTCACCGTCAACCGACAGGTGGTCCGGGCGAAGGAGAAGGAGCATGCTCGCGTTCGAGGTCTTCTTGTCCACCAAGTTCCTGCACGGGGCATACGTTGACCGCGTTAATCCTTGAAACGTGGGCAGCACGATGTTCAAACGTGCTGTGAATACTCACTCGGACCAGATGCAGAAAGCAACCATACTGCACTCCATCAGACCGGCAAAGGTGTCAACCGCGTCATCGCGACCCGCGACTATATCCGCGACCACATTGCTCGTCACGATCCGAACGCGCGCCTCCGCCTCCTGAACCAGAAACCTCCGTACAATCGCGCTGTTGGGTACGGGGTGATCTTGTTAGCAAGCTGAATGCTCCGCGGGCACCTAAGTACGCGTGCACACGAGAATCGCGACATGGTTTGACGACATCTCACCCAACGACAAAGTCGAACATTCGCGCCGTTAACGGCTGCTTCTCCTCGCCAAGCTGTTTCCACTGTTCGGGGGCAAGCTCCACGTTAGCTCCCGCAACGGAGATGACAGCCGGACAGGATGCGGCCTCCTTGTTACCAGATCTCAGCGCCTTTAATTCGCGAGCCATGACAGGTAGCACTATTCCAGCGCGAACCGCGGGCAACGAGTTCTCGCGACAGCAACGACTACGGAACGATAGGGATCGCGAACGCGGGCTGGAGGGAACGGAGCTTCCACTAGCTCTTGCACTATGCTGGGTGGATGGGGAGAGAGGGACGGTTAAAGAAGAAAATTTGAAGACGGAGGAAGAAAATGAACACCACCCACCCTCACCGTGAACATAAGAGGCGGACGAGGAGCCATCAAAATGGGGTACTCGCGGTCCCCCTGAGCGTGCATGCAAGGCCGCACCGCTTCGGACGTGTCAAGGGGGGAGGTTCCATCGCATGCACGCGTGTGTAACCACGTCTGCCAAGTGGCCTTCAGTCCGCGAGAACCATTCGGGGGGTGGTTACCACCACTCGCGGAGAGGACTTTGCCTCGTCGCACACGCCGTAATACGATGTAACGATTCAAAACACCTGACCCTGGTGACCCGAACAGAGCTACACACTATTATATGAGTGTATTACAGTATATTATGTTACAAGAAGACAGGCACTGGCCACTGTACAAATTATTATAGTTACCATTATTGTGTACCGAGGAAAAGCGATCACGCGAGGGAACATTGTTTCGTCGCACGCATGCGACTCGTCGCACGCTGTATGCGAGTGGGGGGGTTTTTTTCCGCGAAGCTCTTGCGAGTATTCCGACGCTCGAGAACGAGAGCGATTGGCCGGTTCCGTTTCGGGCGGCCCGGGGTTCGCTTCGCACACGCTTCGTCGCTCGGAAACCGGCTCCCATTGGCCGAATCCGTCACGGCCAGCTCGAAATTTCCCTTCGCAGGCGCGAATTTGCATGCGGGGTGTTTCGCGAGGGTTCTCCGACGCACAAATCACTCGGGAACGGCTCCGATTGGCGGGATCCCTTTCGGCGCGCCGAGGGTTCGGCCCTCGACCTGGGATTGGAGGGCGAGGGGGTTGTCAAACATTGTATGTTTACATTGTGTAGGCTATAGTGGGTTTAGCCTTAGGGGGTACACAAACTTAGGGTTTCCTACTTGTACCCAACTTTCTGCTAGTTCAATCATTCCTGTTTCATTCTTTCTGACATGGTTTCAGAGCAGGTCCTCCGCTAGGACCGATTTTTTTTTAGGGCCCACCACTACTGACTGCCTACTAGCGCCCTCGTGCGCCCTACTGTCGGAGCGCCCTCGAGCGCCTCCCCCCAGCGCCCTCGTGCGCCCCTCCTTAGCGGCCCCTTACGGCCCCGTCGACCCCGCGCGCCGCCCCTTAGCGGCCCCTCACGGCCCCGTCGACCCCGCGCGCCGCCCCTTAGAGGCCCCTTACGGCCCCGTCGACCCCGCGCGCCGCCCCTTAGCGGCCCCTTACGGCCCCGTCGACCCCGCGCGCCGCCCCTTTAGCGGCCCCGTTGGCCCCGTCCCCTGCCCTTAGCGGCCCGTCGCGCCCTCTTCAGGTCTCGTCGCGACCCCTCTCACGGCCCCTCGCGGCCCCCTTTCGCGGCCCCTCGCGGCCCCTCTCACGGCCCCTCGCGGCCCCTTTCGCGGCCCCTCGCGGCCCCTTTCGCGGCCCCTCGCGGCCCCTTTCGCGGTCCCTCGCGGCCCCTCGCGGCCCCGTCGCCGCCCTTAGCGACCCCGGCGCCGCCCTTAGCGGCCCCGTCGCCGCCCTTAGCGACCCCGTAGCCGCCCTTCGCGGCCCCGTCGCAGTCCTTCGCGGCACCTCGCGGCCCCGTCGCTGCCCTTCGCGCCCCCCCCCCTTCGCTGCCCTTCGCCTCACCTGCGGCAGCTGCCGCCGCTGAACCAGCAGCGGCTGCCGCCACCGTGCCTGCCGCAGCTGCCGCCGCCGGACCTGCAGCAGCTGCTGCCGCCGAAGGAGCAGCAACTGCCGCTGCCGGACCTACAGCAGCCGCCGCTGCCGAAGGAGCAGCCCTGCCGCTGCCGGACCTGCAGCAGCACGTGCCGCCGCCGCCGAGGGAGCCGCACTGCCGCCGCCGAACCTACGGCCGCCCCTGGCCACCTGGAGCAGCCGCCACTGCAGAGGCCGCCTCTGGCCCCTGGAGCAGCTGCCGCCGCGGCCCGGCCCCGCCCTACCGCTGTAGCGGCCCTACTGTCGCCGCCGTCTTGCGCCTGCCCTTCCTACTACTGGTGAGCACTGCCCTGCCCACACTGCCACTGCTACTGCTCCTCCTGCTTTTACTGCTCCTGCTACTACTGCTATTACTGCCGCTACTGCTGCTCCTGCTGCTCCTGGCGTGGCCAGATGCAGCTCCACGACCGTCCGCGTGTGTCCCTCACGCCCCAGCAGCTTCGTGCGTGGTACGCCAGCTGGGGTTGTCGGGGTGGCCGTTGTGAGAGTCGTCCTGGAGTGGGTAGTTCGGGAACTTCTTGTAGTGGCCCGGTGCAGCAGCAGCGTCGTCCGCTCGACCCTCTTTCGCCCCAGCAGTTTCATGAGTGGTACGCTCAGAGTAGAGGGTCGCTGAGTACTGCTCGCTGCCAGTACGTTCTTAGCACGGGTGCCTAGACTGGTCAGCCTTGCGGGACGCGTGGTCACACAGAGTCCCACTGCTTTGCCCGTCTGACTGACGCTTGGCGTACAGAGTTTGGCGACGACGCTGAGCTCCCCGACTGGGTGGAGCTGCTTGGACAGAAGGTAGATATCTTTGCTCTTCCCTATGATGCTATTCTCACTGCAATGTATGCATTGTCTACTAGTACCGAGGGAGCTTGTCACCTGTGTGTGCCGCCTGACCCCGGTATCCAGTCTGCTGCTCTAGGTACTGGTGAGGCTGCCGCACTAGGTGCTCGTGTGTCGGTTGCCTCAGGTGCTGGTGAGGCTGCCGCTCTAGGTGCTAGTGTGTCTGTTGCCCCAGGTGCTGGTGAGGCAGCTGCTCTAGGTGCTAGTGAGTCTGCGCCCCCTGGTACTGAGTCTACTGAGGCACTGTACACCTTCACACTGGACTCAGGTGCTTCTCGCTGTTTCTTTCGTGACCGCACTGCCCTTGAGCAGCTTTCTCGGCCAGTTGCTGTCTCCCTTGCTGACCCCTCTGGGGGTGCGGTCATTGCGACCTCCTCCACTGTCCTTCTTTGTCCTGCGGTTCCGTCGGGCACACTGTCAGGTCTCCACCTCCCCTCGTTCTCTACGAACTTGGTGGCAGGCTGTGCGCTCCAGGACGGGGGTGTCCACCAGTTCACCCCTGCCTACGAGCGCGTGACACACTGCACGTGTGCTCGGACGGGCCGTCACCTGGCTACCTTCACTAGGCAGCCGGGGTCGGACCTGTACACACTGACCACTGAGTCCCCTCAGGTAGCTGCGTCTGCGTCTGCGTCAGGTCAGTTGTCTGCCCCCTGCTCGTGTCGCTCTCTAGCGCACGAGACTGTCCTCTGGAACCACCGCCTTGGTCACCCGTCAGTGCAGCGCCTTCGTGCCATGCACAAACGGTTCCTTGTCTCTGGTCTTCCCCGGGTACTCCCTCCCCTCCCACCCTCGCCTGCTCCTCCCTGTCTTCCTTGTGTCGAGGGGCGGCAGCGCGCCGCTCCTCACTCCTCCTCGTTTCCCCCGACGACTGCTCCCTTGCAGACGCTCCACCTGGACGTGTGGGGCCCAGCCCGCGTCCGTGGACAGGGTCAGGAGCGGTACTTCCTGATCGTTGTTGACGACTACTCGCGCTACACCACGGTCTTCCCCTTGCGCACCAAGGGTGAGGTCCCTGATGTTTTGATCCCTTGGATCCGCGCTTCTCGTCTCCAGCTCAGCGAGCGGTTCCACTCGGACTTTCCTGTCTTGCGTCTGCACTCTGACAGAGGTGGTGAGTTCTCCTCCGACCTCTTGGCAGCCTACTGTGCGGAGCACGGCATTGAGTAGTCGTTCACGCTTCCGGCCTCTCCACAGCAGAATGGGGTTGCTGAGCGCCGCATTGGCTTGGTCATGGAGGTCGCTCGTACCTCCTTGATCCATGCGGCTGCCCCCCACTTTCTGTGGCCGTTTGCAGTCCGATACGCTGCGCATCAGCTCAACCTCTGGCCCCGTGTCTCCTTGCCGGAGACCTCACCCACACTGCTGTGGACGGGGGAGGTTGGCGATGCGTCGCGTTTTCGGGTCTGGGGATCTCGAGCTTTTGTCCGCGATACGTCTGCGGACAAGCTCTCCTCCCGCGCTGTTCCTTGTGTCTTTCTTGGCTTTGTCCCGGACGCGTCTGGTTGGCAGTTTTACCACGCCACCTCGCGCCGTGTCCTGCCCTCTCAGGACGTCACTTTTGACGAGTCGGTGCCCTACTACCGCCTCTTCCCCTACCGCACTGCCCCGCTCCCTCCCCCGCCTCTCTTCCTCGCGCCAGGTGCTGCTGTGGTAGACCCCCTCCCCCCTCAGGGTGCCGCTCCCTCAGGTGTGTCCCAGGTAGACCCGGTTGACCCTGTCGAGGTAGCTGTCGACTCTCGTCCTGCTAGGGGTGCTGAGCCTGAGCGTGCGGAGCCTGGGGGTGCGGAGCATGGAGGTGCGGAGCCTGGGGTTGCGGAGTCTGGGGGTGCTGAGACTGGGGGTGCTGAGTCTGGGGGTGCTGAGTCTGGGGGTGCTGAGCCTGGAAGTGCTACACCTGGAGGAGCTCTCTCCTCCGAGCAGCTGCGTGAGTGGTACTTACAGTACTGCAGCCTCAAGAGAGGTGCTTCTGGCGCTCGGAGCGCTGCTGGAGCTGGTGCTAGTGCTTCCCCTCCTAGGCGGGCGCTGCCCTCTCCCCTGCAGCTCCGCGAGTGGTACGCTCGGCACTGCAGTTTCCGGAGTGGCGCTCCTCACGTCGCGGACCCCGGTGCTGCTGCTGGAGCTGCTGGGGCTGCTGCTGGTACTGGTGCTGCTGGTGCTGGTGCTGGAGCTACTGGAGGTGCTGCTGGTGCTGGTGCTGCTGGTGCTGCTGGAGCTGCTGGAGGTGTTGCTGGTGCTGGAGCTGCAGGAGGTGCTGCTGCTGCTGGCGGTGCTGCTGGCGCTGCTGGAGGTGCTGCTGGTGCTGGTGCTG